TCCCGCCTAGCAGCCTGAGCTATTTCGCTAACAAACCAATATGCATATGAATACAATCGAATGTAAATTGGATTAAAGTGACAATAAAAATAAAATCACAACATGAATAAAACATATACTCGGTCTGCCGGAGGGTCCATAAGGGGCGCTGCCCCCTGGCGGGGTTCGACTGGTTCAGGTCGCGGGTCAAAGGGGCAGCGCCCTCGCGGGTGGTTCGGGGGCAGCCGCCCCCGGAACCAAAATGTTAGTGTAAGGCGTAATTTGAATGTTTCTGCTGGTTTTAAATGTTCGTAAGTTGGTGTATGTGAAGTACTCTGAGTGGATCGGAGCATGTAACTAGTCATACTGAGCATATACCTACCAATACGAGCATGTACTAGATACCGAGCAGCAGTACCGAAACAGGTCCTACCAGCTACCGAGCATGACCTACTAGTACTGATGCATTGTTACCTACCAGTACCGAGCATTACCTACCAGTTACCGACCTATAAGTACCGAGCATCTGTACGACGTTTACCGAGCATTTAGGTACCTAGCAAGTACCGAGCTAGTATCGAGCAGTGTACTCTGAGCGGAATTGGCACAGCGATGTACCGGAGCATTACCTAGCTATCGGTACGAGCATCTTACCTTAGGTTTTCAACAATGAAGAGAAGAAGATGTTGCGAAATCCATTACAGTCTTGGGCTCTTCTTGCGATGCAGAGGTGCCTGTTTCGGCCTTGATTGCGAACCTTGCCGGGGAATGACAGCAGAAATAACGCGAAAACGAAGGAATGAAGACGAGCTCTGCTTTGCCTGAGCAGAAATGCGAAGAACGGGAGGCGAACGGCAGCAGGGCTCCATGATCGAGCCGTGACTGCGAAGCTCTCCCCAGTCCCACCTAGAAGATCTTTCATGGAATCCGAAAAAAATAGGGCTTCTCGTTCGGGAAAAGGCTAAAATAGAACTGGACATTTTATGCATTTAATAACCGGACACGCGTGTCCGATTTAAATTTTAATGTTTTAAATTCCGACACTCCAATGCCGTGTCAGACACGTGTCCATGCCGTGTCCGACGCGTGTCCGTGTCCGACACGTGTCCGACACTGCATACCCTCTTTAAGAGGCGTGTCAGTGCATCATAGATCACAACCCATAGGTATTTGCTTTCCTTGTGTGCTGCTTTGTGTATGTCTGTAGGGAGTTCCACTATTTTGTGGACGAGCTGATTATTCATCTGCAAGCTGATGTTGACCACTAGGTGAGCTTTCTCCATCAACTTTCATGCGCTTGCAAAGGACTCCTCATCCTTGCCATATATCTGCAGTTGCTTTGTCATTTGTGGAAAGCTTAGTGTGTTTGTTTGCATATTGATGTTGACTGCCGACTGAGTTATACCCATCAACAATTTCTTCGTGCATATTAGCTAGGAATTTGCTATACTCATAGCACATCAATCTTCAGAACATGTAAGAGACTGTAGTCTTTTATTTGATTGACGTTGCATCATTGTGAGTGGTAGAGATGTTGCTACATTCACTATGCACGTCTTCCAGTTCTTGTGAGGACTATCGTTTGCATCCCTAAGACAACTAACATTGGTTTGTAGGGAGATTTGCAGTGTTTATAGTTCATTTGTCGTCATCACTGCTTGCTAAGATTTGTAAAATTTATGCACACAACATATTAGTATGTCGTCGGTTTAGCTATATTCTTCACCAATCTCTTAATGCAATGTTGGCTATTGTCATTAGCAAGGAACTATAGCCTTCATTTGTCGGATCTTGCATCCTTCATTTGTCAACTTATTGATGTTGGTTGGAATAATGTTGTAACGTTCGAGGACCTTTATGGCGACTAATAAATAAACTTTGAATGTGTCGTGTGATCGTAAGCAAGTTATTTTATTCATTACTTGTCTGCTTCAAACACCCGTGAATGTCCACATTCATTGCGAGTTATTGATCTTTGCATACAAACTCTACTTGCTTATTGTCATTCATTTGAATGCGTCTCGACGAACTCCTTGCATATGCTTGTAGGTGGATTATTACCTTTTGGCGCTTGCACTTTAATTGTCATAATCATTATGAAGGAGTTGTAGTATTGAGGAAGTCTGTGTTGGGATTTTCAAGCAAGTCATGTTTTGAGTTTTTTATTCAACGCAAATCCCAAACTCATTCATTTGCATTTAATCAGGAATTCATTATTTTGCAAATTACAATTACATTCGTCATGTTCCTTGCTGTATGTTCGACTAAAGTTCAGTGTAACTTGGATTATGTTATGATTTGGATTCCTTTCATCTTTAATTTTAAGTGTCGGGAGCTTAGGGTGTCTTGTATTTTATTTTTGTTGACTTAGAACTTTATGTGGATTTTAATCTCTTTGAAATTTTCTAAGTCAAGGATTATGTTGAAAATTTTGGCAGCACTCAGGCGTCGTCCCTGCATAGGAGGCTGCATCGGGGTGTATAAAGTTTTTCCGGCTGCAAAGAAAGGCAGTCACAGTAGGTGTCAAGTGACACCGCGACAGCAGTCACGTTCCCCGCACGCTAATAAAAGCGGTCACGGGGTCTTCAAGTACCTGTTTAAAACACAACATTTCCCCGACTTGGGTGCGCGATGACCGAGTTAACAACGGCGAACGACGGCGACGAAGGGAAACCTTGGAGAGTTTGGAGGGAGGGAGCTTGGAGGCCGGTGGCTTGGCGTGAGAAGGAATCTTATGATTCTTTGCTTGGGGGTTCCCCTTTCATGTCAAAGAAAGGGGGGGGGGGGGGGGGGGGGGCTGTTTTGGCATAAAAGTGAACCGTGAGATGAGATAGAGAGGGAGTTATGAGGGTTTAAGTGGGTTAAGTGAGGGTATTTTAGGGATTTTTTATTTAGATTTTTTTTTTTAAATCTCTCCCTCTTACTAAATTATTTTTTATAATTATATAGCATAAAAAAATTCTAATCGTGCATCGAGTTGGTTGCCACATCATCGTCGTTATTCGGATATGTTATCGCCTCGATTTGCGCACGCAAAATTAAAATTTTCGTCGATCGGCGACCCCAATCAATATGTGCATCGAGCTTAGCTGTTTCCGTTGCTCACGACGCATTTGCACTGTTCGTTTTGCAAATTGAGGTCGTTTCAGCGGTTTAGGTTTTGGTCGACATACGTCGGGTGAGTTATGCATGGTTTCGAGCTCTTTTGCTTTCGACATTCTTCTTGTGCAGTCGACTCGACCCCTACACTAGTGTAGAGGTCAACATTTAACTACTCCTTTGAAAGAGAAATCTATTTCCATTCCAAAAATCATGCACGTTATAGTGGAGAACATGCTTATTCTTTAAATGAGTGGTCCATGTAATGTTGTATTTTGCTATCGATTTTGTGAGTGCAACGAGAAGCTTTCCTATATATAAATTTTTTTTGGGGTTCAATAAAAATCAAAATTGCTGATAAATATATGAAAAAATAAGGCAACAAATAGATATTTTGTTATTACTAGAAGTATTCGAGCATTTGAGCTAATGACATAAATGGCATGCTTATTGCACTACTTATTCTTACGAAAGTTATCTGAGTGGGTTCCAATCCTTGGAATATTGTACATTATTATTCGATTGCTAATTAAATGATTGTGAGTTCAAGGAACTACTTTGATTTAGCTTTTTTTTTTTTTGCTCTTTCTGTATCTAGTATTTATAGGTTACTATAATTTTGGCTATTTATCAATTGTTCTTTGCTTCACGATGAATACCTACTTTTTTTAATTGTTTTGCATTCCTTGTACTTGATAAGGAACTACTGAACTATTTGGCTTGCCTGCAGAATTTATGATATGTTGGTGAGGGCATATTTTTAGTTTGCAGTTTGCTAAGTGAATTATAATGTGTCCTGTCTTAGTTGCTCAGAGGTACTATTTCACCCTTGCCTTATCCCCGTGATGGTACATTCTGCATGAGGATCCTGTTGGCCAGTGTTTGAGCTTAGTTCACTGCAGAAGTTCTGCTGCTTTGGTGGATGTGCTCTTTTTTCTGTTCATGCTGTGTGGAACATTGCTGTGTTAATGCATTTGGGCTGAGGTAAGGTTACATTATGATTCATTTAAATGCTTTTACGCTTTTTACATTCCATGAATTTATTGATTTATTCAGTTGATCCGTTTCAATTTAGGTATTTAAATTCTGTTTCGGCTTAAGTTTCGGTTTTGCTCCTATCATGAAAACTTTAGTTTTGGTGGTCTCCATAGTTTGTCTTTGGTTTTAGTTACCATTTAAATTTAATTTAATGTTTATAACTTAAGTTTTATAGATATAAAATATATAAGTATGCATGTAATTTTATTGTAAATTTATATTTAAAAATAATTTTAGTTATTGACATTTTTTTACTAATTTATGCTAATTTTATTCTCAATAACACTACGAGTATGCTTTTCTATATGATTAAATGGTCAGTGCCACCAAATGGCTCACATGTCCTGGTGCCAATACGAGTATGCTTTTCTATATGATTAGTTTAAAATATATTTATTTTATTAATTATGGATTTCAAAATAATTTGAAGAAGAAGCCATCATTAATTTATATTATCATGTTTATCATATACAAATTTGGATGAATAGAAAATAGTGTGTTGAGTTGATATATCTTTTTCATTTATGAGCATCTAACATATATTTTGAAAAAAATAATCATTTGTATAAATAAACCAACGCTATTAAATGCTTTAATTTATTGTATATTTATTGAAATAGTTAATTAAATAGTATCCAGTTATGTGATGATTTTTGTAATTGTCATTTAAAAAAGAATTACTTAAAAATTCTACTAAAAATTATTAGCCGTATTTTATTATTTATCTGTTAAATAGTTTTTTTTAGTACTTGAGTTTCATTTGGGATGACTTTCTTACTACATCAACACAAATGAAGCCTTAATACATCAACACAACTTGCTACGGTGGAAAGCAATTGATAAGCATTTTTTTTCTCATATTAAATTTACTGAATTGTTTTTAATGCAGCGTAGGTTTCTAGATTCACAATTTTATTTTGGTGTCCTTGAAAATATTGAAACCGGACTAAAAATTTGAAATCCTTATTATCATCAGCTTAAGAACCTCATTTTTTCCATTTGTAGCCTAAAAAACTGTGAAATCGCTTGAAAATCATGATACTGAAAATATCCACCATTTTTTATTTGGCAACAGTAAAAATGATTCCTTTAAAAAATTGTGTTAATGCACTATTGTTGCCAGGGCCCAAGTCTTGGATGAGAAAAGTGGAGGGTTGTGTTTGATATTCGACAGCTAGCGTAAAACTGTCGAATAATCATGGTATGAATCCTTTAGAAAATTGTGTTAATGCTAGGGCGTCCCCTGGAAGCGACACGCCATATGACCTGAATACAATAATAAGTGTGCAAGGGCCGGTGTACCGGCGCTCGGTTGCAGTGTTAAATAGGTAAGGGTTCCCACATCAAGGATGGATGTGGGCAAAGAAGCTAGTCTAGGAAGCTAAATTTAGGATATGAAGTTGAAATATAGATTTTCTTACAGAAAAATTAATGTAATTAATATATATTATGATTTATAGGAAGATAAATATTCTGTGCATTTAGGAAACTAAATGGGTTGGAGAGAAGGCTAAGGAGATTGATAGTTTTTGTCATTTATGATTTAAACTATGGTATTCGAATAAGAGTCGTTTAAAATTGCGTAATCGGGTATTGAGGTGTTTTTCATTCGTGAGGCGAGACGTAAGCCTCAAAATCAAAAAATTGCGTAAACATAAAATGATAAATTTTGGAAATATAGTAATATACTAATGAATAAATAATATATAAAATATAAAAATGCTACTTATCACATCTTTGAGAATAAATAGCAATGACATATCACATAAGAACTCATAAGTCATCAACACTGTCAGTTGTCATCACTAAGGGGGTCTTCATTTGAAGCATCATTATGATGAACTGCTCTCTCCTCTTCCTCCTCTCATATAGAGTCCAATATCTCCCAATTAGCTCCTTCCTCATTATCAGATAAGAAGCCAGCAAATCTTGGGCAAATTACACTCATTATCTTGGCTTCTTATCTGAAATCTTGGAGGATGTCTTATTAAACTCTCCAACTAAAAATTCCCCAATCGACCCCGCTCAATTTATTGATAAAAAATCATCTTCATTATTTGTTATTCTTTGAAGCAATCGATGGGTTTTAAAGTTGTTAAGTTGAAAAAATAAATTTGAACATAAATACATAATAAACATTCTTAACATAGTCTGGGGGGGAGGGGGGTTTGCTTATTCAACTCCAATATGTCTGTCTTAATTTTCAATGATGTAATTGATGTATGTGCTAAGAAAAGCCAGGATATTTCTTCTCCTTTATTGGCAAACTAGTAAGAAGGGCCACTTCATCAGCAGTGAAAGGAATAGGCCGACCTATTGGAATAAAGCATTGCTTTGAAATATTCCACATTGAGATTAACTCATAAATAAGTGAGACATTTTGCTAGAATTCAGGAAATTGCAAAAATTGTATGATCTTTAAACGGTTCAATCTGTCCACGACTTCAGAAGAAATTTGTATTCGAAAAGTCGAAACATAACATCGATAGGTAATAGGACAAACATATATCTGAAAAATAAAAATTAAAAATATATAAAACTAGTAAAAAAAAGATACACACAAAATATGCACAAAATACGTATAAAATACGCACAAAAACGCACAACATACGCACCGATTACGCACAACATATGCATAGAGTACGCACAACATACGTATAAGTACGCACAATATACGCACAACATACGCATAGAGTACTCAGTGCTTAGCACAGCGTACGCACATCCTACGCGCAAAATTGATACAAACTACTCTATTTTAAAAGTTTGTTAGGGTTTAAGTATTAAAAACTTAAAATTTAGTTAGGGTTTAGGTTTCAAATTTCAACATAAACCCTAAATATAGAGAAAATACGATGGTATCAAAGTATCAAACATTTAAAAAGTTTTGAGAAGGAACGCGTACGCATAGCGTAAGCATAAAATACGAAGAACTTCAAAACCCTGAACACATACGCATAACATAAGCATAAAATACGTAGAACTTGAACAGAAAACATGCCAGCAAATTACCTTTCTCTTTGGGGGTGACGACATTTGAGAAGGAACTGAGTGAATGCTTGAAATTGCTCCGGAGTGAATGCTTAAAACGTATGCCGGGAGTTGAAAACTGAAACGCCGCGTGAACTGTGAAATTTTTCTGCCATTTTACCTTTACCAGGGTTTAAATGTTGATGCCACGTCGACATCTCACTAGGAAATCCACGTTGGCAATTGGGGGGTCCGAACTGAACAAAAATATATTAGGTTATTTTTTTAGAGGCGGCTCCTCAAAAATGTGAGGCGAGGCGCCTTAAGGCGCGCCTCATTATACTTGAGCGTAAGCCTCAAAACTTGAATTTATTGCGCGGGCTTTGAGGCTTAAAGGGGTCATATTGCGCTGAGGCGCGCCTTTTATTCCACAATTTTAAACCATGGTACTATAAATGGTGTAGGTGTGATTATGGATAGGAGTTTGAAGGATAATATTATAAAAATTAATAAATTTATGATAGAATTATAGTTTTAAAGATTGTTGTTGATGTTAAGATTGTTAATATTATAAGTGCTTATGCTCCTCAAATAAGTTTGGATATGAGTTCAAAATTAAAATTTTGGAATGATTTAGAAGAATTAATACAAAAGATACATTTTGAAGAAAGAGTTTTTATTGGAAGAGATTTAAATGGACATGTTGGTAGAGAGGTAGATGATTTTAAAAGCATTCATGGTGGCCATGAGTTTGGAATGACAAATGAATGTGGAATGATCATATTAGATTTTTCTTTAGCTTATGATTTTTTAATTGCTCATAATTTTTTTAAGAAAATAGATGAGCATCTCATCACTTAATAAAAATTGATATAGTAAAAGTCAAATTGATTATTTTCTTAGAAGAAAATTAGATCTTTTAAATTACAAAAATTATAAATTTATTATGAGTGAAAATTTATGTACCCAACATTCATTATTAATTTTTGACTTTAAAATAAAAAGACATAAAATAAATAATAAAGTAAATCGATATTTTAGGATTAAATGGGGGCATTTAAAGAATATTAAAAAAAATAATTTTGAGAGTAAGATTTTAGATCTTAAGATTTTGTCTGTGCATAAAGAGGCTAATGTTATTATGTGAGAAAAATAGTGGCTAGTGATATAAAGAATGTTGTAAAAGATGTGCTTGAAGTATCAAAGAAAAAATCTTCTAATAGTAAAAATACTTGGTGTTGGAATCCAATTGTGCAAGAAAAGATTAAAAATAAGAATATTTGTTATAAAAATTGATTTAGATATAAAAATTCTGATAATTGAGAAAGATATAAATAGGCACTAAAGGAATCTAAAAAAATAATATTCGATGCAAAGATCTTAGTTTTTAACGATTTGTATAATAGATTAGATACTTAGGAGGGAGAAAGATATATGTGTAAGTTAGTCAAACAAAGAGATAGGAGTAGTAAGGATTTAGTTCAAGTGAATTATTAAGGATGAAGATCAAAAATTACTTTTCTTAGAAGATGATATTCAATAAAGGTGGATGAGATATTTTGATAAACTTTTTAATGAAGAATATGAAAATATGATTGACTTTAGTGGCCTTAGCACCTTAAATGAAAATAAAGATTTTTGTTTTTATCGACATATTAGTAAAATCGAAGTTGGAGAGGCTTTAAAGAAAATGAAGTGTGGAAAAGCTATTGGATCTGATGATATTCCAATAGAGATGTGGAAATGCTTAGGAGATGAAAGAATTTCTTAGTTTACTAAACTTTTTAATGTTGTTTTGAAGACAAAGGATGTCAGATGAGTGAAAAATGAATGTGTTAATTAATATTTTTAAGAGTAAAGGTGATACACAAGATTGTGCGAATTATAGAGGAATTAAGTTAATGTGACATACTTTAAAACTATGGGAGCAAGCTATGGAGCATAAGTTGCGGCGTGATACTAATGTTTCTCAAAATCAATTTGGATTCATGCTGGGTGGGTCTACTATGGAAGCCATACATTTATTGAGAGGTTTGATGGAGAAATATAGAGAAGATAAGGAGGATCTACATATGATAATTATTGATTTAGAGAAAGCATATGATAAAAGTTCCAAGAGAAGTGCTATGGAGAGTTCTTGAAAATAAAGGAGTTAATAATGCTTATATTCAAATCATTCTGCAGGAGCTATTACATGTGTTCAAACACAAGGTAGTTTGACCAAGTATTTTCCTATTTCAGTTGGATTACATCAAGGATCAGCCTTAAGCCCATATCTTTTTGCTTTAGTCATGGATGTTCTCATTAGACATTTACAAGAGGATGTACCTTGGTGTATGCTTTTTGCTAATGATATTCTTCTTGTTGATAAGACTATAGAGGGAGTTGAAGGTAAACTTGAATTATGGAGTCAACCCTTAAGAGTCTAAAGCTTTTTGCTTGAGTAGATCTAAAATTGAATATATGGAGTGTAATTTTAGTAGTAATAGACCTAGAGTGAGGGGATTGTGACTTTGGTGATTAAGTCATTTAAAAGAGTACACGTTTTAGTATATTAGATCTATTGTTCAGAGTGGTAGTGAAATAGTGAGGATATTTATCAGTAGAATTCAAATTGGATGGTTTAAAATGAGAGACGTGGTGGTGAAATAGATGGGATATTATCAGTAGAAATTCAAATTGGATGTTAAAAATGGAGAAATGCATCGGCATATTGTGTGATACAAAAGTCCCCCTCAAACTTAAGGAAAATTCTATAAGATGGTGTGAGACTGCAATGATTTATGGTGCCGAATGTTGGCCATTAAAAGAGAAGCATAATACTAAGTTAAGTGTTGCAGATATGAAGATGCTTAGGTGGATGAGTGACTTTACCCTTAGATATAGGAAACGAAATGAGCATATACGTGAAAAGGTTGGAGTAGCTCTAGTGGAAGATAAGATTAGAGAGAGTCGCCTTAGATGGTTTGGTCACATAAAACGGCAGCCTTCCGATGACCCGGTTAGGAAAGTAGAGGCATTAGATTTGACTTATGTTAAGAAAGGTAGAGGTAGACCTAAAAAGTTTTGGTTAGAAAATATTAGAAATGATCTTTCTTTATTAGATTTAAACGAGAATTTGTCTTTTAACTGGACACAATGGAGAAAAAGGATTCATATAGCCGACCTCACGTAGTGGGACAAAGGCTTGATGTTATTGTTGTTGTTGTTGTACCAGTTAAAATAATTCTAGATTTTTGAAAGAACAATGTTTTTTTTTTCTTATGTTCCTAATGGTTTTGCGATGCAAAGAGACAAAGAAATAGAGATAAGAAGAAGAGAAGGATAGCATTAGAGAAAGAAGAATGAATAGAATAGGTGGGAGAAGAGAGCAAGAAGAATTAGAGTAGGAGAAAGTAGTCAGGGACGAGGGTTTAGAGGGAATCACGCATTCAATCATTTAATGTCTCGAAAGCTAGGTCGTGATCCCGTTTTATAGATGGGAGTCATGTCTTGTTGTGGTCAAGTCTAAAATAAACTAGAAACTATAAAATGCACATTGAAATGATAAAAAAACATAATTTACAAAATAAATGAAATCTAATTAAATTTTTAACAACCTATGGTTGAGGTCTGGTCTATCTCTCTGTATGATATCTGATTCGAAACTATGCTGCATCAACTCTGTCGAAGTTTGAAGAACTTGTCTTTATAAAGTTTATGCTGTGGTAATCATTCAGTAGGTTTGGTGCTTATTATATCATGGAGTCCTGGCCACCCAGGACTCCGCCAGGACTCCTCTTCTGAAAGAAAAATCTTCCAGTGAACAAAGTGCCTGTGCGATCCATCATGGCCTATACAAAGCTCATTTGTAATGATTTACTCCACCTATTTTGTGATATGAAAAGATGTAGGTGGCCGTGGAGGAACAATAGTTGAACTTGTAGCAGCAAAAGCTCCACTTGCAGAAAGATTGTCTGACAGTACAAAAGGCTCGAATGTGCTTTGATAAGGTGATATATCTTCATTGTTAAATGTAGAGTCAATATTTATTTCAAGAATAAATTCAATAAATGTGCGGTGAAAGTTATTTTCTTTAGGATTTTTATACGAACTTGATGAGCGTGCTTATTTTATGGAACATTTTAATCTAATTTGAACCAATTCAAAATCTCCTTCTCTAATGTAGTTTTTGCTTTATATCCCTAAGCTTCTTTTCATTCTTTGGTTTAACTTTAAAATGTAAATTTTATACATGTCCAACAAACCATGCACCAAGACAACCTTCAAATTCAAATGCAACATTCAAATGTACCGAAAAGTGTGCAAATGCATCATTTGAATAAACCAAAAAATGTGTGAATGCATTATGCAAATGCAATGAAAAACATGAAAATGCATTGTGCAAGTTCATTGGAAGCATGCAAATGCTCTAAGACGCATGCAAACATCTTGAAGAGCATGTAACTGCTCTAAGTAGTGTGTAGTTGCTTTGATAAACTTTCCAATACTTAAACGAGTGTTGATAGATATTTAGAAGTATGATATATATTGTATAAATCTTTTAAAAGCATATCTAATCACTAAAAGATAAATGCTCGCATATGCTCACTAAATGCTTGAATGAGATCTCAATACTACATGGACTAAAAGAAGATAAACTTCAATTGAACCCCTTTGAGAATCGTGCGTTGACTCTTATAAATGCCAAAATCAAATTCAAGCAAGCACAACATGAAAGATGACCGACTAACACAATGTCACGCATAACGGACTCGAAATACCGCAATGTCATGTGAAACGAGCATTTAAGCACCTTTATTTTGGTTGAAATCATTTGAACTTTGGTAATCATTTGATCTTGGTCAGTTTGCGAGATGGATCACATTGATGCATTCGGGACATTGAAATTATCGAAGGACTACTCGTGTGGTACTCGATCGAACAACGACAAAAGTGATGGTCGTCGGCTATGATGCACTGACACGGACATGACGACACGGACATGAGACACAACTTTTTTTTTAAATATAGGACAGGTGCGACGTGGACATATCATAATAATTTTTTTAATATAGTATATAGAAATTAAGGTAACATAATATTAGAAATGACAAACAATAATAAATCAATGCTATGATAACTTGTTTAGCTTATAACATAAAATGTTTAGTACAAAATGTCTAGTACAACCACAAAAATATAAGTAAAAAATCATTTAGTACAACATTAAGCTTCAACTACTCAGTAGAGAGAATGATAGGATTAGTTTAAGAGGTTTATCTTTGACTTTCAATATCATCATTATTGAATATCATTGCTTCCAACTCTGGTTCATCAAGAGAGATTTGCAATCTCCAATATTCTCATACCATCAATGGACTCGAACCTATCTCCAGCAACATCCCACATATTTTTATCACCTATCATTAAAAGTGGCATCTTCCTTGATAGAAGACAAAGATTTGTATGCACATAAACTAAATCTTCAGCCCATTATGGAGTTATTTTATTCCTCTTTATCGATTGAATAAATGAGTATCTGCCCTAATTTCTCTCACAATAAGAGGAGGATGAAACTTGACCAAGAAGTTTTATTGCTATTATTTGAAGAAGTGGTGCTGAATCTCCATGAGTCAACTACCACATATTTGGATTTATCCTCCATCTATCAACCAAAGATTCTTGATCACCAAAATCCTCTAATCATCTTTGGATCCATCTTCCATCCATTCTGCTTTTAAAAAGAACTTGATGGAATGGAAAATAAAAGGTCTTAGCATTAGGCAATCATACACACTTTTTCAAGAATAAACTGATTAATTGAAACAGAAAAAGTTGGTTCTTCTTTATATCTATTAACTTCTCAAGTTCTCTCCCATAATATTTCTTTAACATCTAATCTAAATAAAAAAGAATGTATATATTTACTTCTATAGTTCTCTAGTTCTCTCCCATAATAGTTCATTGGATATCATATAATTAATCTTAAATCTTTTATATTCTAAATATTTTCTATATCATTCTAACTTTTCACCTATTTCAACAAATCCTATCAACTAGAATTTGTCATGAATACATACACTAAGATACCTAAATACATACACTAGTTAATGTTTCATAATACTAAGAACTTCAATATAAATAAAATGTTCTTTGCTTTCTATATTTTTTCTTTAATTGCCTTTGTATAACAATCACATCCATTATGAATCTTTAAAACATATGGATAAATTGGGCCTTAAATATCGATGTAATTTATTCTATATTCCTCATATAACTTCAATGTATGACTCTTATGTCTAGTTTCCCTAAAATCAACCATAAGTATAGACAATGGAGGGAACAAACTAAATTGTGCATAATTTGCTCATTTGTTTGCTTGCAAGAATATAAGGAAAAAAAAACTAAAACAATAAATAATTTGCTCACTTTCTTACTCTCCCTCCTATGGCTGCGACAAAAAAATAAGTCAGACTGGATGCCCTAAAAATGGTGAAGACGAACCGGTGAGAAAAAGGAACATGAAACCCAACGAGTGAAGAGAACGGCTCTAGTCGGACTTACCGGGCGGAAAAAAGAGCAGTAGATTCAAAGAAGATGTTGATGAGGGCGTTGAGGAGTTTCCAGGCTCGGCTCGTCGTAGAAAAGACGTAGACGAGTATGTTCTGGGCTTCAGGCGTGTGATCTCTACGCTCGGTGGGCTTGCTCGGTCGCACAATCGACGAAGATGAGGGTTGACGATGAGGGAGAGCTAAATGTCAAAAACCCTAAGCATACGGACAATATGGCTGTATTGATGAATATATGATTGGATTGGATGTTAAGACATTTTTATTTGAAATTATTATAAAAAATTAGGACACGCGTGTCCATTTAAATTTAACTATTATTTTAATTGGACACGTACTCGTCTTGTCCGACCCGTGTCCCAGCCATGTCTGGCACATGTCCGTGTCTGACACTGCATTATCTTTTTATGAGGTGTGTTGATGCATCATAGGTTGCCGGACATGATGCAGTGCAAAATTACTCAAATGATGTCTGATTGTGCCTTGTTGCATCTGAAACGTGAAAATACTCGAGAGGGACCTCTCCCTATCTATTCAAGCGAATGTGGTCGAAAAGGACAGTCTACGTGCGCAACGCAACACAAAGTCGCCCAAGTGTTTCCTGTATGTGAAACTGATTTAACATGTGTCTAGATCATTAAAATTACCTTGAAAGAATACCTATATTGCACTGGTTGTTGTGCAAGCAAAGTGACGAGATCAGACATGCGCAAGGCTATGGCATGCAAAATGAGATGCATGAAGAATGAAAAGTTATGCGAGAGGTTGATTTAAATTTCTATTATGATTATTTTAATTAATGCAAGCTACATGAATTTCCAAAGAAAATTTTAGACCGAATTTGAAATCTCTATTTTTTGTCTCAGAATAGAATATTATGCTCGTTACTTCAACAAATAAATGACAATTATTAAGCAAACTTGATTTCAAATTAACTATAAAATTCAAAAGATAAAGGTGTAACAGGTAAAACAAGTGTTGATTGTATTCAACACCATTGTATGTAAATAAGTTTCAAAGATAATTTAATAAAAATTCTTCTAAAAAAATAGCTTGAAATTAGACCAAATTTCAAAACACAGTTAAATCAGTGTCTGATGAAGCAATGTTGCATATTAATGTTTACACACTCCATGTTAACATTTCTTTGTCTCGATTGGAGATGGCTAAATGATGACTAGCGTTGATTATTCAAGTGTAGTTGATGGATCAAATCATGCGCTTGGGTTGGAAATGGGGTATGCAGGATGTGTCGGAGTATAAGAATGTGCTGATGTTATAGGTGTAAGCATACTTATCAATGGCGCAAAATGGTGCGGTGCACATGTTTAAGTTGGCGCGCACCATTTGTGCACAATGGCATATGGCGCACGACGTGCGCAATTTGAATTTTAGGGATTTTTTTGTATAATTATAAATAGTTTTTAATATTTATATATTTTAATTTCTAAAATAATGTAATAATTAATTTTAAAATGATGTGATATAATTAAAATAGTTTAGTTAGGTTTTATTAGACTTTATTTTAGTAGAAATTTTGGACGAACTTGAAGCTCATTTTAATGGTTTGGACTTTGGACCACAAACATATTCAACCAAGTCTTACCCAACTTGATTGATACTCTAAAATAGGATATATATAATGATTTTAAAAATTATAATCATTTTCTTATAAAAAAAATTGATCCGTATAATGATTTTCTTTCTATTATAAATATTTAAAAAAATGTCTTAATTATAAGTTATTCTTTATTATTTATCTTTTATTTTTTCATTTTGAAATAATTTTATTATAATAACTAGTTAAATCATAATCATTTTCTCTCTTTCATTATAAATGGGCTAACTTGTGCTATAGCTTGAACTTATAGAATTAAACTTGAGCTCAAACTCGATTTATTAATCAAGTTTAAGCTCAAGCTAGGGGTGACTCAAGCTCAACTCGACTCGTTTACACTCCTAGTTGATGTAGATGGGTATTGAAGAGGCATGAAGGTTGATGTTTATGAGTGGCAATGAGAGTTATTTTTGCAAGGAGTAAGGCGACAATGGACCAGCTTGCTAAAGGTAACAAAGGTGACAGCTTGTGTTGTGTATGGGAGGCAAAGTCACGAGAGATTCAAGATATTGGCAATAAAAATAGCTTTTGGGTCAATGTTTGTATGCCAATCAATTAATCACGGTAGAGTAGCGTGTAAGGTTGTAGAGTCCCATGTGTTAGAGGGGAAGTAATTAAGCAATTGGCATGTAGGGGAGACAAAGAGCAGTGGCAAATTGATTGGCTGTAGGTGTTGTCCTAGGTAGTCAAGGTACACAAGGTGGAAGATAGATTATGCTGGTCTCTGTGTACCGGTGTACATTGAAGCCTTCTAATGACCCAGTTAGGAGAGTAGATGTATTAGATGCGACCTACGTTAAAAAAGGTAAGAGGCGGAGCTAAAAAGACTTGGTTAGAAAGTGTTAGAAATGACTTTTTTATTAGTTCTAAATGAGAATTTGACTCAATGAGACACAATGGAGAAAATGATTTATTTAGCCAACCCCGTTTAATGGGATTAAGGCTTGATGGTGTTGTTATTGTTGTCAGCATTGGTGGAATGTGCTAGGATAGCGATCATAAATGGGTTAGGAATGAGGAACTATCAAGTCGTGGGTTTGTGATGAAATGAGATGGCACACGGTTGTGGTGGTGAGCATAAGTAGGGAGATTTGTGTGGTGTGTGATGTTTAGTTCGGTAAGGAGTAGAGGCTGATGAGATCATGTGCGAAAAGGAGATTGTGGTAGGAAGGATGGGTCGTGGTTTCACTTTGATACCATTGATGATGCAAAAAAAAACAAAAAAATAGAGATGGGAAAAAAGATTAGTAGTATTAGAGAATGAAGAATAAAAGAAGAGGGAGGGGAGAGAATGAGAAGAACAAGAATAGGAGAAAACAATTAATAGGTTTTGAGGAATCAAATTTGCATTCAATTATTTAATGTCTCAAAGCCTAGTTCATGATCTCCTTTTATAGTTTGGAGCCATGCCGTGTTCCATCCGAGCATAAAATAAACCAGAAAATGCAAATTACATATGAAAAATGAAAAATAATATAATTTACAAAATAAGTGAAATCTACTTAGAGTGAAGTTTTGGTCTGTTTCTTCATGTAATATATAAACTGAGCCTGTGCTGCATCAATTTACTGGAGCATGAATCGCGTCAAGAGATCCTTCAACCTTGCAAAAGTTTGGGGTTTCAATTGGATGAGAAGCAGATAAGATCAAGTTGACCCTCGAAGTAGTTGAATAGATGTTTTACTTGTTTGTATTTTATGACTATTTGAATCTTAGATTAGCACTCAATGTTTTCAAAAAGACAAGAGCTGAGCTGCTTATTTAGGTTAACTTTGGTTTTTTTTTAGGTGACTTAATTTTCTGTCTTTCCTCTGCATTGTAGATCTATCCATACCTTAGACTTTCTTATAGCTGTCTGTTTGAAGATTTAAAGTTTCTCCATCTATAGCTAAAGTGAAGAACTTGAGTGCTAGTTATGCTGATATAATCTAATCCCATCATTATGACTTGCCAATGATTTCTTAGAGGAATATGCGGACTGAGCATACTTCAATGATTCCATTTGTTCATCTCGTAGAAGACAGTTTTGTTGTTTTTTTTTTAAAGCTTCAATGCATGTAACCTTTTGCGTGTATTTTTCTGTTTTATGCCATGTTTTCCATTATAAGGTCGCATTCTCTCTATGAAGCTATTGATTTATGAGGTAATAAAATTATTTTTGTCCCATCATCGATCATCTTATGCAGCAACCTTTTTCTATTTATAGTGTTATATTGAAAGTTCTATGCCGCCTTAAGCTATGCAATTGTTATTATCAACATGCTTTTTTGTTTCTTAAAATAATTAAAATCTATTCCATATATTTTTATTTATGATAATGTGGGTATAAAGTTAATTAAAAATTTACAGGCATAAGGGTAATTATAGATTTAAACCAACGTAGATAACAAGAAATTTTCATGCCACACAGCTGCTACATCTCGAATCATAGAACTATGCTTTGGAAACTAGAGAGTATACTGTTTGAGCCAAAGCCCATTGATATTATCATCAATAAGCTTAGCTTTAGGTATTAATGCAACATGCCACCTATTAATATGTTTTCTGCCTTGAAGCCTTGTGGCATATTAGCCAAATGTAGTATTTTTTCTTTATATGAATAAACATATTGGATAGTCATTATTACGCATGGTTATGTTACGTTTCGGATGTGAACATAAAAAGTGTGGAATTACCTACAACTTCAACTTTGGTGTTTTTTTTTTTTTTAATGATGCCCTTTTAGGTGAACCATGCGTATACTTTTTTGTTTAAAAAGTATGACATATCAAGTATTGAAGGATAAATTTATTTTGTCCATTTTATTTATCAAATTACTGATTATGTTTTGGGATTTGGAGTTAAAGGTAATTTGCCATAGCTTTTGTCGTTATGTTTCTTATTCAAGTATTGAAGGACAAATTACTGATTTTAACGCATCTTCTGTATTTTGTATCCTCTGGTAATCTTTCACTTACAACACATTCTCTACATTACTATCTTTACTATAATGCATATGGTTGAATGATATATTCGTGCATACATAGTTTTAAGCAATATATTCACATTTCTACTTAGCACCATTCTTAATCGAATTATTTCCTGCTAGAAGTAAACATTTATAGAGTAGATATTTTAATGCCAAAGACAGACTAGCCTTTTAAGTCCTAATTTTTTTCTCTTTATCCTTACACTAACAGTCTCCAATTTGTCCTAATATACTGTTATTTGGTCCTTGAATTGCACTTTATACAGCCTTTAGAAAATTAAGCAACTTTCTTTAATCTAGCAATCTTTCACATTCCCCTACGACTTGCAGCTTTTTTGTCATCTCATTAAATCTTTTTGATTTGTTCATAACTTTATTCCATAATGAACCCGTGGTTGAAATTTCTGACATTGCAAGTTGTCCGTGCGGTGGTTATGTTGAACTTTATGCAGCTCTGCTGTTCTGCTTGTTTAGGCATGCCTTCAGAATGATTATGTAGATATTGATTGTTTCATTAAAAATTATTATAATTTGTTGTGTAATTTTCTTGGGGTGGTAATATAAAGTCTTAGGTTGTATGTATGAGTGGAAATTTTGTTGATATATGTAAATGCAATGAGGAATGATGTCCTGTGAGACTGACTTGAAACTGATTTTGTTTATCCTTGTTCACTGTTAATGGTATTTTTCCTAGTACGTGATTGAATTTTATGCTTGTTAGCATAGATGGAACATGATTCTGGAGAACAATGCCCTGCTGGTATTAATGAATGCAGTAATGGTGATTTAGAACAAGTTGCAATTTGCTTTCCAGATGAATGGATTCCAAAGGTTGACATGGAGTTTGAAACCGAACAAGAGGCCTATGATTTTTACAACAGATATGCCTTTGAGATGGGCTTCTCAATCCGAAGGAGTTCCAGACACTTACTAAGGAAAGGAGGTGAAGTCAAAGATAGGACATTCTGTTGTTCTCGTGAAGGTATTCGTGGCAAAGATAGGAGAAAGGAAACTGTGCAAACTCCTCGTTATGAAACAAGATGTAATTGCAATGCAAAGTTGAAGATAAGCTTGCGGAATGGTAAATATTATGTGTTTCAATTTATACCTGAGCACAATCATGAGCTTGCATCGCGCACTCAGGTGCATCGGTTAAGATCGCATAGGCATATAATTCCTGCTCAGCCAGTTACAACTCTTGGGATATCTCCAAAGCCCACTTTTGATTTAATGTCTGCAGAAGTTGATGGCCATGAAAATCTAGGCTTCATCCTTAATTTTGGAAATGATTTGCAAGCTGAGCAGCCATTAACCGTCAAGCTTGGAGATAGTGGAGGTGTCCTGGAGTATCTTGAAAAGATGCAACGTGAAGATCCAAAATTCTTTTACTCTGTACAACTGGATAAGCTGCATACAGCAACAAATATCTTTTGGGCGGATTCAAGAATGATAGCTGATTATAAAAATTTTGGAGATGTTGTTTGCATTGATACAACTTACAAAAGATTTAATGTGGACAATAGGCTATTTGGACTGCTTGTGGGTGTGAATAACCACAAACAACTTATCGTTTTTGGTTCTTTCTTACTCGATGATGAAACATCTGAGTCATTTAAATGGATGTTTAGTACATTCCTCAAGGCTATGTTAGGGAACAAACCAAAAACAGTTCTTACGGATGACAATATTGCAATGGCTAAAGCAATTAAGATGTGCATGCCAGAGGCAAATCATCGAATATGTGTATGGCAGATTGGTCAGAATATTTGCCAGCAGCTCAGTGTGGTTGTTAGAGATTATAAAAATTTCTGTATTGATTTCAGTAGCTGTTTATATGATCATGATGAAGAGGCCGCATTTATAGACTCTTGGAATGCGATGCTTGTGAAGTATAAACTTGTTGGAAATGCTTGCCTTGACAGGTTATTTGAGAAGAAAGAGCAATGGGCTTTGGTATATGACCGAAAAGTATTTTATGCAGGCATATACAACGCCCAAAGAAATGACAACATCAGTAAGGAGCTAAAGAATTTTCTCAACGCAGAAAATGATATATTGCTGCTCTTTAAGCACCTTCAAAGATTGGTTGAGGGTCGACGATATGAAGAAATAAAAGCGGATATTGCGGCAAGCCATAGCATGCCGAAGCTAAAGTTCGATTTAGGAATTTTGAAGCATGCAGCAAGAACTTATACGCCAGCTATATTCAAGATGTTCCAGGATGAGCTTTTGCAGACTTGGAATTGCGATATGCACTTCTTCGGTGAAACTGGTTCCATTAGCACTTACAAGTTGAAAACTAATGGCGAAATACAGGAGCACACAGTTATGTTTGATTCATCAAAGGTTTCTGTTGAATGCAGCTGCAAGAATTTTGAGTTTATAGGGATCTTATGTACTCATGCTCTAAAAGTACTTGATTTTAAAAACATCAGGACAATTCCTGTCTGCTACTTACTAAAGAGGTGGATGAAGGATGCAAAGATGGTGGGTGTAGTTGGTTCTTGTACGCCATGTCTGGACCCGAAAATTGAGCTAAGAAGGCGCTATAAAGAGCTTTGTCGTCTGTTTGTTCAAGTGGCAGCAAAAGCAGCTGAGACTGAAGAAACCTATGCAATTGCAGCAGGTCAGATTAATAAATTGCTGCAAGAAGTAGAAAAGAGATTAAGAAAAAGATATAAGCCCGATCCGGAAGGAGAACATACTGAACTGAATGCTCTGGAAGTTGAATTAGGACAAACCATGGAGGGTGATGTATCAAGCAGAGAACAAATGCAGACTCAAAAATTGAAGGGGATGAAGCTCACTGCTAACAAAAAGAAGAAAAAGATCCGTCCTCAACAGATTTCTGTTGGCACTGCAGAGCAAAATTTGTCAGCCATTCATCTAAATAATGATGTATATAATCCCACAAGTGACCCAGTACAGGTATTCACAATACTTTTGATGTTTCATATTTGAGTAAATGATCAAAATAGTCCCTAGAAATTATAAGTGTCTTCACTTTAGTCTCATACTTTTCATACTTTTAATTTAGTCCGTCAACTTCAACTCACTAAATTTGAACTGATCTGATGCTACATCCAACTGACATTTCTTTGGAAAATTGTTAAGAGCAAAGTTTTACATGAGGGTGGTTTTGACTTTTAAAAGTTAATCAATTAATTTGAGCTAATATTAATTAGTGATAAAGATCCTAAGTTTCTCTTTACCTTTCACCCAATAAAATGACAAAATTGATGGTTGACCCAAATTGATTCAAATTTGATGAGTTATGGGACTAAATTGAACATGTGAAAAAATTTAAAAAATCTTATCTTTAAATTTTTATTACTAAGAACTAGATATTTAGCTTCATTTTCATTAATGGTAAGTATGTAATAATATTTTTTCGTTTTTTATCAGAGAAATGCATCTTCTAGCATGGGAAGAGAAGCTCCTCAAGATAACTTTGCTCGCCAGCACCCTGTGACAGCAAATGCAAATTTGTGGCTTGACTTGTCCCAGCCACCCACTGTTGGTGCCCACACTAGTCTTATTGCAGACAGTTTTCAACTCCAAGCTGTCCAAGCTGTAAGTTTAGTCTTCCTCCTTTATTATTGGCTAATAAATCAGATTTTTTCAACTGATAAAACAAGTTAACACGAGTCGAGTACACCACAAAACAAAATCTTAGTCGTTTCCTCACAACAAATACATTTTCCTGATGATTTTGCCTTTCACAGAGTTCTTTCAGTCCAGGCCTTTACCAAATTCATAATCCTGCAACTACCATTCCTATTAACCAACAAGGGCACCTCAACATGCTTCAACAATTCGAAGTAAGCTTTTACCTCCAATCCATCAATCCAAATTTTCAAATTTTAAACATGATTTGAATGCTAAGAGACTTTCTGGCCTTATGCAGCCTCAGCTACACAGCTTAAGCAGGCAACTATTTTCAGGCTCTGCAGAAGGTTAAGGTTTCGTTTGGGACGTCTTTCTTACTGCTTCATAAAATAGTTTTTTAGTACAAAAATAAAAAAATTTGTACTAAGAAGCAGAAAGAAAGTCGTCCCAAAATGAATCTTAAATCATCCTTTGCAGTGCTTCTCTGGTTTTACCTTGTGTAATGGATCAGACTTTGCTCTAAATAGGCTTAACAGTTCGAGCAATCCTCATTAGGAACAAATGGAGAATGAGGATCATAAGTTGACTAATGATGATGATGATGATGATAAATCTTTTGGTACTAAAAGCTGATTTTGAGTCATTCAGTTCTCTCGCCAAGTGACTGGCTTATGGTGTATATAGCTCGAAGTAGGAAGCTCTGACCACTAATGCTGCTCTGCCTATACCAAAGCTCAGATGCCTCATCTCTGCAGTTTTGTCCTGAAGCTCAGAAAGTTGCAGAAACATTTTGTATCATATTTCCTCTGTAGATGCGTACAGCTTAGGTCTATTGTTTTGTAGGTGGATTTGAATTGTTAAAGAGAGGCAGGAGAGGGTATTCAAGTCATACTGTATAAAGAAAAATAGCCTAATAATGAAAAGCCATAGCAGGTCAGGCTAACCTGTGTTGAGAAAGATATAAGTAGATTATATTCTTTATTTAGTAGATTTAAACGAGAATTTGACTCTTTATGTTTCGTTTGAGACGGCTTTCTTACTGCTTCTTAAAGCAATAAAAAAGTCGTCTCAAACTAAGTTTTAATAGAACACAATGTAAAAAAAGTGTTCATGAGACCATTCTAATTTGCAACCTGGGTGAATGCTTAGTTGATTTTAACAAGTAGAACTTAGTGGAGGATTGATCCTTCTTTCTGCTGAATCGATGAAGATGACAATTTGTATTATTTTTTGGTTATTTTGCCTCTACACTACACATAAATATTTTTTGGAAAAAACAAAGAGAATGATTTTGATGGGCCTCCAAAATCATTTATTGAAGCTCTTTAAGATAAACCCTCATAGTGGGCTATTTATGTAAAATAATTAAAGATATTCTTAATAATTTGAACAAACTCAATCAAACAAAAGGCCAAAATTCATTTCAAGAGAGTATTACCAAAGAAGCCACTTCAATGCTTAAAGCAATGTTTGATCATTAAAGCAATAGGACCTTCAGAAAATTGAGAAATTTTATCTTATGATCATGCTGAATATATTCTTATAAAATATTAAAAGATGTTCTACTAATTGAATAAATTGAATAAAGGTTATATTAGGTCAAATTATCTTTTAAAAAGTGTGGTGAATATTTATACCCTTTAATAAAATATAATTTGATCATAGGATATCATAAGGCAAGCATTGCTTACACTTTTCTCGCGCTACATGTTGAATATCTTTCAAAATTGATGTCATATTTGATTATTAACTTGTAAGAGATTCTTACTCTTATTTTGTAATGCTGATGATAAAACTCTTAGACTTTGCTTTAAATAGTTTTCTTACTGCTTTTTAAGGCAGTTTTTTAGTATAAAATTTTCTTGAAATCAACAAAAAAATAGTAGCTAAAAGATGTTCCAAACAAAACATTAAAGGGCCTAAATTTATCATGATTTATTCAAATCAATCTATATTGTTATGAATTGTACTTAACAATTCTAAATTATTTGGGAACTAAGAGTACCTTCATCTCTTCTTTTCATTGTGCAAGCTCAAGTTTAACTTGCACCATGAAGCATTGATTGAATGTTTATAAGTCATTGAGGAATTTTTTTATTTGAATAAAAGTTATGATTAGTTAGTAGTAATAGTGAGTTAATTAGTGAGAAGTAAATAGTCTATTGTCTTGTAGGCCTTCAAATAACACAATTGTGTAGTATGAAGCATGGAAAATGATTAATAAAACCCTCCTATCTTCTATCTCTTTTTTTTTTTTTTTTGAGTGATAGATCAACTAGAAATATTCTAGATCAGAATAAAATTTTTATCATTGGTGACCTTATTTTCATTTTAATTAGTTATTAGTAATAATGAATTAATTAGTGAAAAAATATGTAGTCTTTTTTTATATATATAAAGTAAGTATTCTTATAAGCCTATAAATACCCCAATTATGAGTAGAGATTAAAAATGGTGAATAAAATTCAATCTCCTATCTTAGATTTTGTTTGGGATACTTTTTTTACTACTTAGCATTTCAAATTTCAGCCATAATTTTTATCTGGTCATTATTTTCTCGTTGCTTTAAAAAAAATTTTGTATAAAAAAATTATTTTCTTCAACAGTTTAAAAGAAGTTAATTTTTCTAAAACAATTTTATAGAAGGATAAAAAAATCATCACAAATGAAGCCTTAATCATCTTTACTTTCGAGAAAGAGAAGCTCAAAATGATCTAGATATAAGGAGAATTTTATTTATTATTTTTCAAGCCTTGTAATCACCAATTGGAATATTTGTAGGCTTACAAAACATTAGAGTACTTCCTAATTAATTCACTATTTTTACTAACTAATTAAAATTTGGCTTCATATCAAACTTTTTTTTTTTATGGATTTATATCAATCTTCTTTTCTCTTCTTTTTTCCAACCATTAGATTGATTGCCAAAGCTTGTTGGACAGGAAAAAGCTCATTTTTTTTTATTGATCAACAACTACAAAATTTTCTACATTCATTTTGCCAATTTCAGAGTGCATTCAAATGAGATTTAACTCAAAAACATCTAAGAAATTCATTTTAGTCTTGAAGATCTGATCATTTTCACATCTAAATTTAATAATTATGGGAAGGAATCCTTCCTATTCACTACTACATTCTATTGATATAAAGCGTTTGCCTGCAAAAATAAGCAGTTTCTTCAGCCCTGAGATCTATAGGAATTTAAAAACAAGAAAAAACTACAAGTTCTAATGTGATACCTTAATGACAAACAGAATCCTAAAGGGATAAGAAAAGCCTTACAATAATGGAGAAAAAGACTTCAATCCCTCTGTTTCAGATTCATCTAAACTGTTAAAACTATCTGACCCTGCAACTACCACAGTGGCTACCCTCTTGAGAAAAAGGATTTCATAAGAGTTAAATTAAGGTTTTATTTGGGACGGATTTCTTACTGCTTCTTAAAGCAGCTTTATAGTATGAAAATTAAATTTTTTTACTAAAAATCATTTTAAGAACCGATAAAAAAACTGTCCCAAACAAAATCTGAAGCTTCTTCAACTTTAAGCATCAACATGATTTCTGTATGTTTACAAAACTTCCTCTTTTCTTAAGATCATTCTGATCTTAAATTCAGTTATCAGCAGATGTCTCTAAGAAATTCAGTCGATTTCCTGAACTGCAATAACTTACTCCTTCCTCCAACCAGAAAAGGATGCAACTGAAGAACATGCTCAGGCATGAAATCATGCCTTGTTAATATTCCCACCACAGGCATCCTCTGCTGCACCAAAGGAAAGAGAAGAGAAAATCAACTCTACAGATCTATAGCATCAGATGGCAAAATATTTACTAGTAACAAAATTATTCAGGTAAAGATGCAAAATAATCTAAGGCTTCATTTGAGATGGCTTTTTTACAACTTCTTAAAGAAATTTTTTAGTAAAAAATTATTATTTTTTTACTAGAAAGCTGCTTTAAGAAGTAGTAAAAAAGTTGTCCCAAACGAAACCTAAATTTGAGTAAAGAACTCTTACAGAATTGAGCATTGGAATAACCAGAAGGTGTCTTAGACTGATTTGATGGAAAAGTAAGTGAGCTTTAGCCAAAGACATAGTCTCAACAACAGTATAAGGTGAAGTATTTGTGAATGGATGCAAATCAATAAACATCTCCATCTCTTCAGCTGTCAATAAAATATCATCTATACTATCACGCCTGCCTGAGCTCCCTTTCACAAAGTCATCAGCTGAGAACTGCTCAGAAGTATTGATTTGAGAAGGTAACTGAGAAGACAGAAAACACCTTTTCTTCAACAGCACAAGAAGGTGCATGCGAAGAACAAGACCATATAGTACAGGTGACTCTGAAAATGGAGGTTTATCTATCACTGGAAATCCATTATGACCAGTTGTTTTCAAAATGTGAACTATGTTACCAACTTTTTCTACGCCATTAAACATCTGTAATGGAGCAGTAACAACATCACCAACTGTAAGCTGGCCCATGTAAGAATCTACATGTCTATGAAGTAAAGGAAAGCCTTTCAATTTAACAAGCATGTCGTAGATGTTCGTGTTAAAGCAGTCGGCCACAGTTTTCGATATGAGCGCAACTACCATCACTAGAGGAAGCAATAGGAGATTATTGGTTAGTTCAAGTAGGATAACAGATACAGAAACAGTCATTCTCATAGATCCACTTAGAAAAGATGCAGAACCAAGCACTGCAAAGAGGCCATGATCTAAAGTTGAGTTTGAGCCCATGAGCATTCCAATAAGGCGACCGTAAGTTGCGCCAGTCAAGATTACAGGCATGAAAAGACCAGATGGAGCCACAAGGCCATAGCTCACTATTCCAAGAAAATAAGAAGTGACAAAGAAAAGGAGGATAGAATACTTGCTGAAGGCTCTATCTGTGCCAGCACTGTAGAGATTTCTTATTGTATCATCAATGGTGTTGAAAAATAAGCTAGCAAGATCATTGTAGTGATCAATACTGCATTGAAACTTCTTAAAGTTTCCAGATCTTCCTATTGTTGGGCAAGCTTCAGATATGCCACCTGGGCATCGTCTACAAGATGCTAGCCATGGTAATCCAAACAGACAGCAAGATGTGAAAATGGATACACAGGCAGCAAGAAGCAGCTTATATGCACGGCCTTTCCTGCGAAAAGATAGGGATCACAACTTTAAACTCTACTCCACATTTAGAAGGACAACAGAAAAAGTTATATGGTTATCAAAACTTTTCATTTGAAGGAACAAAACAATGTAAACCAGTAGTCAAAAATAACTTGCTAAGGAGAGAAGGGTGAAAACAATTCATACTCGTTGATATGAGTGTAAAATCGAAGAACCTTGTCTAAGAGAAAATTGTATAGACTACCGAGAATGCCACCAATAACACCTAGAAAAATGACTGGAGGCAAGTCCACCAGATGATAGGAAACACTCTCTGCAGTCACCTCAAACATTATAAGTCCTCCCTTTCCAAACAAGCCACACTTGCCACTTTTGCAGAAATCTATAAGTGTCCTGAGCACAACAAGAACAACAGCTGTTGTGAAAAATGCTCTCCATAGTAGCGTGGATCTCCACCTTAAATGATAAAATTTAAAAAAAAAAACAGTCATAAGTTATGTAATATATTATCTAGTTAATTGAAAGTTGATCAAAAGCAAAAAAAATATAGTTCAACACAAACAAAGCTATTCAGAAGCATTCGTAAGCACATAAATAAAAATACTGTAGTCTTTTGCAATTACTCCCAGTATAATTAAATACATTGTGTAGAGTTGTTATTGTTAGGAAATGATGAACCAAATACAAAGAGAAATAGTAAATCAAAATTTATTCAGGGGGTAGCGCTGCCCCTTGATCCCGTGACTTGACCAGTTTGGTCAAACCTCGCCAGGGGGCGCTACCCCCTTGGACCACAACATATCTTCCAACAGTTACTTATAAGTTCGCACCCCCCGGATTCCTCCCCTGGTTTGGATTGAAGAAAGGTGGAGGAAATGAAATGAAATCCCTGTAACTTAGAATTTTACTATTAATCTGCAACCATTTATTTAAGTTTTTCAACTCTTTTCCCATTACCTTCCACTCAAACTCCTCACATTCAAAAACAGCATTAATTTCATGAGCTCTCCTCCCACAGAAATCCAAAATGAGATTGTCAGCTTGGGAACTAAACTTGCTGTTTCGCATGTAAAAATGAAAAATTGCACGTCCAAAAGGATAAATATGAGGAAGAAGCATCTCTCCCAACAAAAAAAAAGAACAATATTAAAGGTGCAATGCATTTCATTTTACATGAGGGTAACAAGCACAAGAATGCTAAAAAAAGATGAAAAAGAAACTAAGAAGTGATTGAAGCAAAGTTCACCATGAAGAAAGTGATTCAAGCACAAAAAGCACTCCACCAATTGGTGCACGGAAGGCAGCTGCAATACCAGCTCCAGCTCCACAGGTCACCAGATCTCTCCTGTCTCTGTCATTTTTTACACACCTAAGCCACCGGCATGCCGGCCGGTATTTGCAAGATCCCCCCTGCCCCAGCAAAGAAGCAATACATGCTGTGGTATGCAACATTGGACCTGCCTTACCTACATGGAGCGACGATGATACTGCACTGATGCAACCAGCTATCTGCATTGAAAGATATCCACTCTTACAGATACAAGATAAAAAAAAAAACAAAATATCAAAGTCTATCTCCTTTACTGCCTGATTAAACAAAGAAAAAATAGTGGAAATAATGGTAAAAAAATTCATCAAATCAGATTGAATAATTAGAATGTCAAAGTAGAAGTGGATCATTGAAAAAAAAAGCAAGTAAAATGACAATTTGGAGGGGCCTACAGCATTATTTTATCCTACAAAAGAAGCGTTGGTTCCTTAACTTCTATATAATATCAAAGTCAGCTGTTAAATAATAATTTATAGAGGCCATGAAAGTCCAATTTTGATGAACCAAGAAGATGCTAGTCTTTGACAGTCAAAATAAAATATAATAAAAAAATCATAATAGCCATTGATCTTTTCATCCACGAAGAAGAATTGAATCAGAAAATTTTCAGTTAAAGCAAAAAAAACCGAGTAGGAGAACTCAAAGCTTGACCTTTATAACCAGAGTTCGGAAAGAGAATATCTCCGGAGCATCAATGCCATTCAAATAAGCCTTCACCTCCGGTATCCCCGACCCCGCAGCCTCCGGCGCAATGAAGGCGGTGATGATCGCAGCAAACATCGTCAGAACCAGATTTGAAGCTCCAAATACTCCGAATGCCCAGAGATACCTACAACATACACCGAAGTGATCGATTCAAAGAAGTAAAAATAAGATTTTTAAGAAGATAAAAGCAAGGAAATCAACCATCTTGTACCTGTTGGCAAGCATCATGTTGGATGTGACGACGAACTTAACGCCTGCGATGTTCTCGATAGCGAGGTTGAAGAAAAACCCCACGCAGCCGGAGAGAACGCCGATTATGAAGCAGAGGACCCATTTGAGAATCAAGTACCCGAAGAACTCAACCCGGTCGCTGCGCGCACGCAAGTCCTGGTTTAGCAGCTCGTTTTCAGCGATCCTGGGCCAAAATTTCATTACTCGATTCGTTGATTGATAAGAGAACAGACATACAGGGTAAAATGAATGCGAGGTGGAGAAGGAAGAGTACTCAAAGTCGAGGCTTTCTATGGGGCAGACGCGTGAGCCGACGAGGGCGAGCTGGGAGGTTGATTTGGAGATAGTGCGGTTGTGTTTGGCGAGCAGAGGATCCGTTTCATCGACGGCGGCGTTGATCGCCATCGTCGAGGAGAAGAGAGGATCGGAAACTATCACCGGCGATACTTCTTATCCTGCTACATAGTGGAAGGGAGTGGACTGGTATGAGTACTGAACGAAGTGAAGAAGTTGGGAGGAAGAAGCCTTCAAAGGTCTCGTCTTTGTCGTTTGCCGCGAGGAGAGGAGTTTATTAATTGAGGAAATGAGAGGGCTTGGTTTCAGAGAATCTAATAGTAGCTTTCGATTGTTGCATCGATTTTCGTGCCAGGTCTGTAACGTTTCACGAACAGACGGCTCGCTTTTGCTGAAAGTAATAATATTTTTTTTAAAAAGCATTGCAGCATAATTTTTTATTTATTTATCAAAACTCTAGATTTTTTGAGCTGTTTAACTTGCTATGTCACCTGCGCTTTTGACTTGCGCTTTAGTTGCACTTTAGTTGTGCTTTGACTGAGCTTTGACCTGCGCTTTACCTGCATTTTACCTGCGCTTTACTTGCGCTTTTTGACGTGCTTAATTTAAAATAATATTTTATTAATATCCGGACCTATCTCCACGTCCGGTGACCAGATGCAATAATTTTCCTTCTCTCTCAATCTCTCATGCACTGGTTCAAACATGAATAACTCTATATCCTTATCTTATCTTTCTCTACTCTCTTATATGTATTATGAGCCCATGTCGTAATGAAATTGAAGTTTGACACCCCATCAAATATTGAATGGTTTGTCCAGTTTGTCCCAACTCCCACTAAATACGCTCATCAACCAAATCTAGTCACCCGCTTGGAGAGAGAGAAACATGCACATTATGAAGATATCTATGTAGCGAAGAGAAAGAGAGGCCGATTGAAGATTTGGCCTTGTATTATTGTGTATAAAATATTTATCTAATATAATACTATTACAGTAGTATACTGGCTGTCTTTACCTCCCTAAAAAAAGAGGCTTGTTTCACCCCCTGCCGTTGTAATATATATATATATATATATAAAAGATGTATTAAGACTATGACACTTTCACTTCTCCAAAAAAAAAATTCTTAATTAGCAATCCACCAATAGCATCTTTCAACTATCTACCTACTACTAATTAATACCATAATATATGATATTACCTACTTAGATGCTCACTACCCCACCTACCCAATCCTCCTTGCATTGTTCATCCTATCCCAAAGTTGGGTGATCCAAGAATTAAGGAGAGGAGGGGGCTTTTATGGTGCCATGTGGCAAATTATGCATTTATTTTCTTAAATAGCTAATATAGATATAAATTTATTAATTTATTTATATAATATTTTAGTTCTACATGAAATCACATCCACATGTATACATGAAAAAAGAAGTATTTATCTTTAGGAAAGTTAATATTAATGCTATTTTTTATTTGATTTAAATATATTAGTGTAATTAAATATTTAAATTTAAATGTTGGATATATAAATATATAATAACTCTATGGTATGTATGTAAATCCCCTTTCAAAGAGGTGAAGAAAAGCTACCACTAACTTCCTTGGCCAAGGAAGATCTATTATGATCATTAATGATAGGAACCTCAGCAAGAATTTTATTTTCTTGTTTTCATCAACCTCTTCTTTTGTTTTTTAAAGGTGAAGAAAGTGAGAAATTATTCTGTGCAGAGATCGGATGCAGAATATCATCCAGATACCAACCAGAATGTGCCACATCAACGGTATCGAGCCGTGATGCCGAGCAATACCAAGCCATGACACCAAGCGCACGAGAGACATGACGTATTTTGATTGATCTCTGTACGGCATTTGACATCCGCACAGAATAATTAATCAAAGAAAGCACGAGTTCTTCAAGATCTCTCCTGATTTCTTCATCCTCGTGACTTCCTGGCCATAAAATTTCCTAGCAAGATCCATTGATCCAGAGAAAGAACAAGTTCAAATCAAGCAATGCTTCAAGTAGACCAATGTAGCTATCTATTGTTTTTTTAGAAGTAATAGGAATTGTTATAATATATATTTTATTTGGAATAACTTTTTTTGTTGCTTTTTAAAATAATCTTTTTTAATAAAAATTTATATTTCAAAAAAAAATTTTATTAATAAAAAATACTACGTAAATTATCCCAAATGAGCCTTAATAATTGATTCAATATAAATATTAAATCATCAACTTAGTATAAATTTTAATTATTTTATTCTATTGATATTTTTGGAGCTAAATTCAAAAAAATTATTCAAGCTAGTTGGGCTCGAAGAAATATATTTAATTAATTAAGCTATTTGTATAAAAATATTTGTCTTAAATAAATCACTAATGTGTATTCTACCCAGCCAGCTTCTTAGTGTTAACATGTAACAATGAAGAGTGGAGCGCTTACTCTAAAATAATTTAGAGGCTACTTGATATATTTTTACTTTATTTTCTAACTTTTTATTTTAATAAAAACATATTTTTGATATCCAATAAATCTTAATTTTGCTTTTATTATTATAACAATGACCAGGATGCTTTCGAACATTTTAAAAAATAATAAAATTTTTCATAAAAAATAAAAATGGCTAAAAAAATATAAAATAAAGTGTTGATGTGTCAAATTATTAGTAATGAGTTGTATAAATATTACATAGGCATATTAATGACTCATATATACAGGTCTCTGGTGAGAAACATACTGTACTGGGATAGAAGCTATGCACTGGAAACACATTTATGCAGACCACCACAATCAGCGAGCAACAAGCCTTCCAATGTACCAGGAGACTGGCAATTAACAAAGAATCTCTTAAAATTAAGCAGAAAAATAACTCCAAGGCTCCGTCTGGGACAGCTTTAGACCAGATTTTTGTAAGAAAAATGCCGTCCCAAACGAAACCTGAGTCTTCGTTTGGGACAGCTTTCGTACTGCTTCCTCAAACGGCTTTCTAGTATAAAATTTTTTAATTTGAGAAATTTTTGTACTAAAAAGCTGTTTTAGAAAGCAACCAAAAAGTTGTCCCAAACGAAGTCTAAGTTGTGATAAAACCAATTCACTGGCCATGAGCCACTAACTAAGAGCATCTCCAATGGAACGGCAAACAACTGTTTGTCGTTCTTCGGTCGCTCCAACCGAGCGGCAATTCTTACGCCATTTCATCGCGGATGAACAGTGTGACACCAATATTGGAGTTGCACTGTTCATCTTAGCCATTTTTTGGTCTACCGAACTTGCCGAAGAAACGCGCGAACGACCGTTACGAGGTAAAATGACGTTCGATTGCAGATGAATCACGGCATTTTTTAGTTTCACGGAATTTTGGAGTGAAAAATAATATTTTCGGTTGGAGATACCCTAAGCAGCAAAATTAATATGAGAGGAAAATAACGAAAGTGAAAAAATAATCAGTTCTACCTCTGGGAGGTGCTGAAGGTGAGAGCAGTGCAGCATATTTTATAAAGGAGCAGGTTGGATATTGCCACCAAAACTAGTGATCTTCTCGGTAAGTGCTGTGATTATGGATCTAAAGCTGACAAAAAAGCTCTGCAGATCTTCTCGCCATGACCAGGTGGGTTCATTCAGTGCGCGAATGGAGTTGAGACATACAAGAAGAGTACCTCCTTCATGCAAGAGAACCTGTAGGACAAATAGTATGAAGCAGTAACTGGTTACAAGTATGATATAAATCATGAATAGTTTAAAAAGTAGTAGAATATACAATATATAATTTGTGAGGAACTTATTTTCTACAATAAAAACGTGAGATGGAATCAAAGAAATTATGTGATGCCATTATGTCCTGAAGTAGCTCCAGTGGAAGATAAGTTTAGAGAGAGTCGTCTTAGATGGTTTGGTCATATTAAACATAGGCCTTTCGATGACCCGGTTAGGAAAATTGAGGTATTAGATTTGACTTATGTTAAGAAAGACAGTTAGAAAATATTAGAAATGATCTTTCTTTATTAGATTTAAATGAGAATTTGATTTTTAACATGACAAAATGGCTACCTTATGTGTACAATGACCTCTAATAACTCTCTCTTGTGTAATAAAGCAGTGGTCAGAGTATGAAATTTGCTAATTAGAAACCATTTTCATCAATAAAAAAAGTTTTGATGAAAGCCATAATACGAGTGGATATGGAAACATTTTGTCAATGAAAGCATACCGTTAGCCATAGAGGAAGAAAACCTAATACAGATTGCAAAGAAACTAATATAATACATGACAAGGCTAGCGTCACACTTTGCTTGACCTGCAAGGGGGAAGAATAAGCAAATCAGAGAATTGCTTAGTGATACCAAAAATACTGAAAAGGAAAAATAAAACTAAAAGAATCACCAGCATAGTTGTTTGACGAGCTTTAGCAATACAAAAAGGAACACAAGAAATATTGTCCTGTAACAACAGCACATCTGCTACAGCTATGGCTGTTGCACTAGCACGCTGAGCCAACACAATACCTACTGTTGCAGCAGCAAGAGCAGGGGCATCATTTATACCATCACCAACCATTATCAAACCGCCACCTAGAACCACAAAATGTTTAGAATACTCGAAAAAGATAGAACTGTGAAACTCAAATAAGAACTTGTAGGAGTAAATACAAGCAATAGGATGGTCTAAACATAAAATTAATGGAAGAAGTTAATAAACAAAGAAATTAAAATTGATTAATCAGGAAAATTTATTAAGAGCTGTTTTTGTTTAAGAAATTTTACATCATTGTGAAATTTTACATGAACTTGAAACGTGCATCTAACCTACTGTTCATAATGGGAATTTTTATTCTGTGCGGAGTCTGGAGCATTCGTAGACCAATAAAAACACGCAACGTCACCTCAAAAATATACCGCGCTCGTACCGCTCGGTACCGAGCGCGTAACCGGACAGGAGAACGGTCCGGTGTCCGCACATAATAATAGCTCCCATAATGGTGGGATGCTAGCTGAGAGTCAATCAAACATAATAATCTATGTGATCAAAACGTGAAGTGTGCGTTATGTAGTAAATAACATAATTGCAAAGCATACGAAACAAGGAAAGAAATGCATCCTAGCATACATACTTGGTGCATTGCACCCAAACAATATCCAATAACGGGCTGCATTTGTGGGATTAAGATAAGTCCAACAATAAGTTGCGCACTTTGCAAATGCTTATAGAAGAGAACTATTGAGGGAAAATTACAGTCAATGAATCTTAAAGGGAGTAAATATATTTTATCCCATTTAATCTGGAAAGTAAAAAATTGCCTGCGTCTCTTGATGATTTCTTGACATGATTGAGCTTATCCTCAGGCTTCAGACTGCTATAAACTTCTTTGATACCGACAGCTTTGGCAACTCTCCATGCACTTGACTCATGATCACCCGTCAGCATTATTAATCGAAGCTTTCCTTTGTCTCTTAGTGTAGAAATTACATCAGGAACGCAAGGCCGTGGCTCATCCTCAAAGTGGAAGAGAGTCACCTGAAATTTTCTTACTTCATAAATTATCATGGAACTAAACAATCATAAACATATTTTTTAGATGGCAAAGTTTGCAATAATACAAATGGCATTAGAAAATCTTATGAAAAAAAGCACAACCAAATTAAACTTCCACCACTAAAATCAAGTAATCAACAGTACATTTATCATTTAACCTAAAGGAAACGAAATGAAATATCAATCCGTGGCCCAGCGCAAAAACATGAAAATACAACAACAACAACAACAACAACAACAAGCCTTTAACCCACAACGTGGGGTCGGCTAGATGAATCTTTTTTTCTCTAGTGTCCTGTTAAGAGTCAAATTCTCATTTAAATCTAATAAAACAAGGTCATTTCTAATATTTTCCAACTAAGTCTTTTTAAGCTTACCTCCATCTTTCTTAACATAGACCAAATTTAATACATCTACTCTCTTAACTGAGTCATCAGAAGGCCGATATGTGTCCAAATCATCTAAGGTAGCTCTCTCTAATCTTATATGCCACTGTAGTTACTCCAACCTTTTTACGTATATACTCGTTTCGTATTTTGTCTCTAAGAGCGAAGCCAATCTTCCCCTTGAGCATCATCATCGCTGCGATACTTAACTTAATTTTATGCTTCTCTTTTAATGGTCAACATTCTTCGTCATAAAGCATTGCATATCTCACCACCATGTTATAAAATTTTCCCTTAAATTGGAAGTGTGCGTTTCTGTTACACAACAGGCCATATGCATTCCTCTACTTCAACCATCCAACTTGAGTTATACTAACAATAGGCCCGAGATATCTATTTCACCATCACTTTAAACAATAGACCCGAGATACTAAAACGAGTACTCTTATTAATGCGTAAGAGCTTGAAAATACAAAGCATAAAATTTCAGGGCCAACAAAAAGTCAAAATAGAAATTGAAGGTAAAGTATTCTGAACCAAGCAAAGAATATGTAGTTTTCTTTTGCATTGGAACAATGAGGAAAACTTTGTATTTCATATATAGCAGAGCCCAGCCCACAGAAAACCTTATAAAAAATGCACCAAAATATACAAGGTCAAACTGTGCCCACATAGAATTATATTAATGATCATATAGAACTTTGAAGGGTAGAGCTCTAATTAAAAATGGTTATTCATTACATGAGTAGGAAATGGTATAGCATAATGCTAGCAGAAATATCTCAAGCTCGTATCATCCAAAGAAGCCACGGTTATATCCAAGATACCGAGATTATTGCAAGTTCAGGAAGTGATGCACTGTACCTTCTTATTAACTGAAAGTGCAGCTTGAACAAAGTTGCTTCCATAAGCAGATGTCTTCACAGCCTCCTTAATCTTATCAGATTCATTGACAGATTTACCTAATGAGGCAATGTATTCCACAGAACCAAGTGAAGCATTTAAAAGCTGATAGGTTCCATTTCCTGACTACAGCAAAAAAAGTACATCAAAAAATTATAATCAACATCACATAGTGAATGCTGACAATGAATATGAATCAATTCAAGCTGTTACGATTCAACTTCTGTATGTATTTAAACCTTTTCAGCAATCTCTCACCATTTTTCCCATGATATTTTTTTTAAACACAATTTTATAAACAGATAATGATATAAGTGTACAAAAGGACAATTAACAAAACTTGTAAGAGCAAAAAAAAGACAAAATAAATATAGTATAGAGCACAAGCAGCCATCTAATCTAAAAACTACTCAATTGGATTGCTTAGCTGATACGCCTTGGTATCAAAAATAGCCAACAAACAAGAGAAATTCAGCACAAGACAGTTTTTGTTATTGCTAGGAAATCAAATAACAAAAGCAAGATACAATGATCCTCTTTCAAGAGTAGGACCTTCTCTCCCAAAATCCTAGATGTCGCTAAGATCCCTTACACAAAGAAAACTATAGCTCTCAAGACAAAATTCTTCATAAGAATCCCTTCTAAATCAGCCCCCTTCCTAATATATCTCCCTAATTAATTTGAAATTAATTCAGTTAGGAAAGGATCTCATTAGGAAAGGATTTCCTAATTCAGTCTCCTTCCTAATATATCTCCCTCTTTAATTTGAAAATAATTCAAACAGGAAATTATCTCATTAGGAAAGGTTTTCATTGTAACATCCCACAGTACCCCTTAACAGTACTGAAGTATTACAAACATAAGACAACTCTTTAATCATTTAATCAAACGATACTTTTGAACATTTGATGATTTAAAAAAAAAACATCCAATAGTTCTCATTCATCTCATCAAACGGAAGCAACTAATAATTTAAAATTTCAACAAAAACATAGCTACAAAGTCACTAAGGGAAAACCAAATAAATATTTTATTGAAAGGTTCACATATCTTAAATTTAGTCTTATAAACAGATTTAAAACTAGCATATAAAATTGAAGTACTTACATTTAGTTTTATTTGATATTTTTCCTTTCCTGTAACAACAGTCAGTAAGAAATATACTGGTGAACTATGAGGCTCAATAAGTGATGCAACTTTAAATAGCATTTAACTTGTATTATTATAAAATTTAAAACATTAAAAACATAAATAAAAGTTAAACTAATTAAGAAAATTTCATAAAATTTTATTTAACATTAACCTTTACTTTCTCTTAATTCATACTAAATATCAATTGTACTCATTAAAAGATTTGACTACTCTTTCATAAATATATTCAATGGAGCCCAAATAAACCTGTTATTATCGCCATTGAATTACATATAGGTCCCTTTTGGTCCCTTTTGCCTCTTTAGGGGTCCCTTTTGCCCCACTTGCTATGCATGTCTCATTTCTTTGGAATCCCTTTTGCTCCACTTACAATGTAATATCATGTTTGAGAACCTTTTTTTCCCAAATACACTTGTAAGTCATACATCATATATAGCTAGATTTTAATTTAAATTGATATTCAATACATACACATTATATTTTCAGATTTCATACTTTTTACATGCTTGCATACAGATAATTCTGTTGTCATTTGTATACAAAGTATATATGCATACAATATATAATTGAATTGGCATCTTTCTAAAACATCATCAATTACAAAAACCTTTAGATGAACATGTTAATCATTATTTTAAACCTGAAAACTTGGATATAAAAACCTTTCTATACATTAAGCAAAAGTTAATACCATTTACTCTAATGTATTCCAAATTAACTTCCATACTTATAAATGAAAGACATCATCTTTGAAATATAATTGCATTACTTACCTCCTTGCCAAGTCGTCTCCTCTAATTCTCTACTTCGTATCCTTCGACACTTAGAAGTTACCTCATCATGACCTCTCCTCTGCATATAACCAAATGAATCTTCTTCTTTCTTCTAAAATCTCAAATCTGTACTTATTATTGGATCTTCTGATTGCATCCAACACTTCTTCCTTTTTTAATTTTTGTTTCACAAATTTCTTTACAATAACGTGTCGAACAACTATTCACAACAGTGCGGCTCTTCTTCCAACAAATTTCTGATGCTGTCTATAGTGTTTAAAACATTGTGCTGAAAGCCCCTGTCTACGGTAACCCAAAAACCTCTTCAAGCGATGTACCGAATAAAGCTACAGTGAATGCAAGCACTTTGCCGATTTCTTACAGCAATTGGCTAGCGGCTAAACAGAGAAAGAACTCAGTTGGCTTTTATGAATATCAAAACAGAGAAAAGAATTATTGGATTGCGATTATTCAGTGAATTTCTGCTCTACTGCTCTATGTTATTACTTCTCCAAAGCACTGTAGCCGAATTCTTTTCTTTGCACTGTCCGAAACTTCTTCTATTAACTGTTCAGTGTAATCTTATCCATTCAGTCAGTTTGTATACAATAAATAATTGGAAGTGGGGCCCAATGCAACTGCCATCCCACTTCATTTTCCAATTAATGTGAAGAGCCAACCGATGCATGCTTTTGGTTGGTTGAGTGTAAACGGAATTTATATTTAATTCATATATTAGGATTATTTTCTAATTAGCATTAGTTTAAAATTTTAGACTATTGAATATTAACAAAGATTAACTGTTAATATTAATTTAAGAGCAATATTCTATTGAATTTAAAATAAACACATACCTGATTGGTTCTTACATTCCTAATTAATTTCCTCCTAATATTATGTATTAATTCTTTGTTGGGCTCCACCCCCTTAACCTCCTTTCTTGCCTTGTCCAGCCTGCCATATCAATACTCCCACCCAAAAGTTCCACCTTGTCCTCAAGGTGAAATACAAGGAACTGCCGCTAAATAATATGGTAATCTTCCCACGTTGCCTCATGCTCTTGTAGGTCTTTCCACCTAATCAGCACCTCTTTTCTTCGTGTTACTCCCTGGCGCACTCTTTTGACTTCTAATGGTCCAACAACACCTCCATGTCGTCCGCCAAGGTCGAAGAAAGTAAAGAAGATTGAATATGCTCTTTTATGGCCCACCGCAATTGGGACACATGAGGTGGATGGCTGACGATGGCGGTAACTATAGCGATAAGCCCCGATGCACTCCACTATCTCATAATGACCAAAATATCTGGGTGATAACTTATCATTATGTCTTTGTGCCAAAGATTTGTCTGTAGGGGCGGAGCTTCAAATAAACCCTATCCCCCACTTTGAACGGAATGTCCCCCTTAGTGCATCTGCTTTTCTTTTCATAATTTGTTGGGATCTCAACAAATGCCCATTCAGTTCTACCAATATTATATCTCTGTCCTCCAAATACTGCTCTACTGAAGCCACTGGTGTGCTAACATGTCCATAATAGATCTAGTGCGGCGAATCTTTTCCTTATAACACTTTGAATGATGTGTTTTGAGCTGCTAAATGATAGAAAGTGTTATACCAATATTCTGTCCGTGCCAACCATTTTGCCCACATCTTGGGTGCATCTGATATAAAGCACCATAGATAAGTTTCAACACTACGATTGACCACATCTGTCTGCCCGTTAGTCTGAGGACGATAAGCATTGCTTCTTTTCAGAACGATCCCCTGCATCTTGAACAAATCCTTCCAGAACTGGCTTGGAAAGATCCTATCTCAATCCAAAACGATCAATTCCGAGATCCCATGTAATCTCACCACCTCCCTCATGAAAATAGTCGCTATTGATACTGCAGTATACATGTGGCGAAGGGGAATAAAATGGGCATACTTACTCAGTCGATCCACTACCACCATAATTGTAGTGTATCCTTCTGAGTTGGGAAGCCCTTCAATCAAATCCATGGTCACCTCCTCTCACATCTTTTATGGCAGAGCTAACAGTTGTAGGATCCCTCCTGGAGACATTGCTAAATACTTGTGCCTTTGGCATATGTCACAGCTAGCCACCATTTTCTCGACATCCTTCTTCATACCCTCTCAATACAACTCTACAGACAGCCGACAGTATGTCTTTTGGGCCCCTGCATGTCCCCCCATAGCCGTCCTATGGAACTTCTGTAGTGAGCAGGGAATGCAAGAAGAGGTCTTTGGAAGCACAAAGCGCCCCTCACGAAGCAACTTCTAACCCACTACTGAGTATTTTGGATGGCTATCCTTATTTCTTGTCAGCTCATCCCTAATTTTCTTCAAGCCTAAAACTTGTTCGCTCTCTTCTCAATGCTTCCCAGTCAACCATCAAAGGCGCAAACTATGCCATCATCTAGGGTTTCCCCCATGCACTGGATAACTTATCTGCTGCTTTGTTTTCCACTCCAGGTCGGTATTAGATTTCAAAGTCATAACCCAATAACTTGGAAAGCCACCACTGATGCTCCTCAGTGGCCATTCTTTGCTCCAACAAACACTTCAAACTTCTCTGGTTCATTCTAACGATGAAATGTCTTCCAAGGAGATACAGTCACATTTCTGAATGACCAGCACAATCGCCATCAACTCCTTGTAGACTGATTTGAGCATGACTCGGGCCATAAACACCTGACTGAAATAGGTCATTGGCCTCTGGTTCTGCATAAGTCCTAGCCAAAAACTCGAGGGGTCAGTCATCACAATAAAAGGTTGGCTAAAATCCAGACGAGCTAAGACTGACACACTTGTCATAGCCTTCTTCAACTCCTCAAAATCCTGGGTGGCCGATTCTCCCCACTTGAAGTTGTCCTTCTTGAGATGTTTTGTCAATGGCCCTGCTATTGATCAATATCCCTTCACAAATTTTTGATAGTAACTGGTGAGTCCCAAGAATCCTCTCAATTCCTTCAGATTTTTTGGTATGGGCCAACTGAGCATGGCCTCAATCTTACTCTATTCCACTACAACTCCCTCATGAGATATCACATGCCCCAAGTACTCCACTTTGGGTTGGGAAAACAAACATTTCTTCTTATAGGCATATAAGGAGTGTTCCCTTAAGGTCTACAACACAACTCCTAGATGCTCCAAATGCTCCCCTTCAGATCTGCTATAAACCAATATATCATCAAAAAAAAAAAAACCAACACAACCCTTCGTAAGTAGGGTTGGAATATCCTGTTCATCAAGGACTAGAAGGTAGCCGGTGCGTTAGTAAGGCCAAATCACCAAAAACTCATAATACCCTTCGAGGGTCCGAAAAGCTATCTTGTGGATATCTCCTAGTCGCATTCTAATATGTTGATATCCAAATTTCAAGTCAATCTTGGAAAATATTGCAGATCCATGCAACTCATCTAATAGCTCATCGATGATAGGTATAGGAAAATTGTATGGTACTGTTTCTTTATTTAAAGCACAATAATCTACGCAGAACCTCCAACTCCCACCTTCCTCATCACCAATAATACAAGACTTGAGAAGGGACTCACACTAGGCCTGATGATTTCAGCTCCAAGCATCTCCAGAATCAGGTTCACAATCTCATCTTTTTGGATCCGGGGGTATCAATAGGGCCGAACATTAATGGGGAAAACTCCCTCCTTCAGAACAATAGAGTGCTAATGCTCCCGTGGGGGTGGCAATCCCAAAAATAGCTAGAATACCTCCTAAACTACTAGAGCAAGGGTTGGACAATGTCGAGAATGCCCTCTTCACCCTCTAGCTCTCCTCCTCCAGACTCTGGAGCTCCACCAAGAATGCCCCTCCTTCCCCTTGAAGGGAACAAAATATGGTTTTCAACAAACCATCGCCTTTAATAAGTTGGAGTCTCCCTTAATTACCACCGTTCTCCCCTCCACCTGAATCTCCATAGCCAAAACCTTCCAGTTCAACTTGATCTCCCCCAAAGTTTGTAACAATTTCATGCCCAAGATCAAGTCAGTACTTCCTAACTCCAATGGAAGGAAATCCTCTCTGATGTGAATCCCTTACAGATCTCTACCACCAAACCTTGACATATCCCTCTGCTCCTCTCTACTTTTCATGTGCCAATCATCACGGGGTCTTGCCACTCGTACTACTGCCCTCAAGTCTGGTTTGAGGTCTTTCATGAAATTGCTCTCTAATATTGTCTCTGATAACCTCCCTACACGTCCTGACAGAAGCTCAAATCTTTTCTGATACTCCATCACAGTGCCTCCTGTGTGAAGGCAAAGAATTTCTCATAGTAATCCCCATCCTGCTGGACTTCAAAGCCCTCCAACAAGCATTCCATGAACTCAACCCATGAACGGATTGGGCACCTCGCCTCTTGCTATTGGTACCATGATAGTGTCTTTCCTTCCAGACATAGGGGGCAACCATCAATCTCTCATCTTCTGTTAACTTGTTTACTGTAAAATATCTCTCCACCTTATATATCCACACATGTACGTCATCTCCTTCAAATATAGTCATTTTCAGCATCCTAATCTTTTGATCCCCCCACCCCAATGTCCCCTTCTGCCGCCCATACCTCCCATGGCGCGAGCATGATGGTCCCTCCACGGTTCCCCATCTTCCCTTCTCCATTTATGTCCCCTTCTTCCTCCAAATCCAGCCCGCCTAACCTCTTCTTCCCATTCCCTCCTTCCTACATGCTCCCTATCCACCCCCCTTCTCGGAATAGGCTCCAAGTGGGGTGTTTCCTCCTCCCTAAAATTTCCACCTCCCTGTCTTCCCTCGGCATGTCATCTTCTTGTTTTCTTCTTGCTCCCGGCGGAACCTTTTTAGTCTGAAGCTCCAACACCCGCTTCATCATTTCCTCCATGTTCCCAAACCTTCATTCGATCGCTGAATTACGTTCATTTATTAATCTCACTTCCGCTCATAGTTGCTCTACTTCCTCATTCAACTAATCTTCCAAGGCTTCAACTCTTTTTCTATCCATTGGTGCCCAAATCAAGGTCTTCTCAGCAAAAAACAGCAACTTTGACGCGGTTATGCCCTCCAAACAGCATAAATCAACGGATGATAAGGAAGATCACAGCAGAAATCAACAACAAAATTTTGGATTTTGGTCCAGGAACGTGCTCTGATACCAATTTGATACGCCTTAGTATCAAAAATAGCCAACAAATAAGAGAAATTCAGCCCAAAACAGATTTTTTTATTGCTAGAAAATCAAATAAAAAAGCAAGATACAATGATCCTCTCTCGAGAGGAGGACCTTCTCTCCCAAATCCTAGATACCACTAGGATCCCTCACACAAAAAAAACTACAACCCTCAATACAAAACTCTGCATAAGAATAAAATAAACCCTACTATGGACTTAAATAGGCTTCATACCTCCCTCTTAAAGCAACCCCCTTCCTAATATATCTCCCTCATTAATTTGAAAATAATTCAATTAGGAAAGGAACTCATTAGGAATGGATTTCCTAATTAAGCTCCCTTCCTAATATATCTCATTCCTTAATTTGAAAATAATTCAATTAGGAAAGGATTTCCTGATTAATTTCCTCCTAATATAATGTATTAATTCCTTAACCTCTTTTCTTGCCTTGTCCAGCCTTGCCGTATCTTTAGCTTAAAGCCTGGTGAAAATAGGAGCACTATTATAGATTTTTTTTTTTAATTTAAGCCCTATCTGGTGAATAAGAATTAAAACATCCTATGCACCAACGTTTCATCACTCAAAATGCTCCCATCGAAATCAAAAGGATGCTGTGAATCATGATTATCTCTATCTTCACCAATGGAAGGAAACGAGGAACTTCCATAGTAGGAATATCAAATATCAAAGATATTATTTTTAAGTAATACAGATAGCATAACTGTATGACTAGCATGGGCAGGCACAATAGTTTCAGCTTCCAAAGAAAAATCATTTCGCCACTGACTCTTAATGCAAAACTCAACTGATCAAGGAGTTGCAAGCATTGTGGAAAAAGAAATGATTTGTTGAGTATACCTCTTCAACCCTAATTTTGATTTCCTTAAATCTAAACGGGCATTGAAACAATCAAAATAATTTCGGCCAAAGCTCTTGCAAAAGGAGCAATTATGGGGGATGCCTTCAAATTTAACATTTTTCCAATAACCACAAGATGAAGTGCTAATCCATAGCTCCTTTGGAAACAAAGCTGTGTCCATTTTTACTAGGGCCATGGCCACTAATGGCCTACATAGAAAGATGAGCAATGGTAGCATCAAATTGTAAATGTTTACCAAACTATATCCCAAAAAGCATACAGTAGATTGATTAAAATAATATAAATGCAAACTAGGAAAAGCCATCCAAACAGTGGCGATCACTAGGGGTGTAAAAGAGTTGAGTTGAGTCGAGTATCTGACTAATCAAACCAAGCTTGTTTAGTTCTTATTGAGCTCAAGCTCATTTATTAACCTCAAGCTCGATTCGTTAAAAAATTTATAAGCTCGACTCGTTAAAAAATTTATAAGCTCGAGCTCGGCTCGATTGCTCAAGATTGACTAGATTCTTTAGCTCGATTTCTTAATGTTAAATTAAACAATTCATTTTTTTAATAGAATTAATTTAAAATATTAAAATATGTCACATAATATTAATTTAAAGTAGTTTTTAAATATATTTTAATTTAATCGAGCTGCTTAAAGATCTTTCGAGTCGAGCCAAGATGAGCTGGAGCTCATTAAACATATGAGCTCAAGTATGGGCTTGAGCTCAAACTTGTGGCACGATAAGCTCGACTCGCGAACTCGTTAACGAGTCGAGCTTGAGCTCTCGACTCACTAACACCTCTAGTGATAAGTGATTTATCAAAAACATCAAAATATGGTGGGGGAGGGGGCATGGCATCAATTCTGCATTTTCTTCATGGTATCTTGTTGCCAGCATTGGATGGTAAAAGGTCATTTGTTGATAATTAATATATATTACTAAGGAGTACATGTACTTAAGTTTATAGCACAAATTAAATATAAATGAAAGATTTAAACATAATGGAAAATTATAAGTTATTATATGCTAGAAAGACCAATAATAGAAATGGAGTAAGGATAGTAACTTAAGTAAAGCATAATTAATCATCAAGGCTTTAAGAAATTGATACGTGAATTAAGGACCCAACCTTAATGCTGGTCAAAGATGCTGAAAGACCTCTACCAGGTAAACTCTGAAAGCTTTGAACAGAAACATTTGGAAGTTCTTTCCCTTGGCTGTGGTCCACAACTGCCCTGCATAGCTTATAGGAAAAGGGTAAACAAAAATATCTTCGACTAAAAAGTTGCTTGTGTTTTGAACTGGTGCATGTTGATAAACTCTCGGTGATGACTATTAATAATAAGCAAGATTGGATTGCACAGTAATGAGCCACTAGATTCAGGGTTTTCACCTCAAAAAATAGACAAATAATGGAAGCAATAAATTTTGGACCGACACAAACATAACTTCTCCACTACCTAGAGCAGCAAAACCATCAAACTAGTAGAGAGAAGTACACCAATAGAATAAAATTGCAGACATAACAAAATCATGCTGAGTGCAAAAAGAGGAAAATAAGATTTATCATTATCAACAACAGCAGTAGAAGCAAAAGTTAACAGGGTTAATGTTGAAGGGTGTGCGATGGAAACGTAGAACCAACTGCCATATGACATGATCAATCGCAAGCCCAATTCTCATACTAATCGGTCTTAGCTATAGCAATGCTCCATATTGTTTTATATATACAATACCTTTTTTCTTTTTTTTCTTTATGCAGGTTTCCTTTTGTCATTACAAAGAATCTCAGATATTTACCTATCTCGTAAAGTCAGTAGTTGAACCCTTTTTTTCATTTTTGGAGATAGTGCAGTTTCAACATCCCGGATGTCATTTACATAATTTCCCTAGTTTTTGGCATTGGAGTATTGGACTAGTGCTTTTGACCACATAGAACTGTAAGCAAAGAACACCATCAAGACAAAATATGCATAGGATCCATCTCTTAACTGGGATAAGTGCACAACAGCAACAGGTGGATGAAAATTGCTGACTGAAACAAAAGGAATATCCTACATTTCAAGTGGCCCATGATTTGCAGAAAATATCAGTCTACTTTTCTCATCTTTGAAGCATATTGTACTTTGAAAAAGACTAAGGTAAGACTCATTTTGTTTACTATATTTTTAAGTATTTGAACCCCATCAAGCTAAAAATTCATCTGCGCCTTGAATCTGAATGCACATTTTCATTATCCTGACTATCTTTTCCTTAAATCAGATTTTTTATTGGTTTTCTTCACAGAGAGCCTGCATCAACTATAAGTTTAGTTCCACATCCACTGCTTGCCGACTCATAAATTAATGATACACCGGACATGTTCATAAAACTTCTGATTAGCAAAGGAATTTGGATTGCATTGATATTCGTTCCCATTCATTAGCTAATTGGCATGGTTGTACCAAAACACATCAACATATATAGTTAGTATTTTTTACCTCCCAATAGGATGTGTAGTCCCTTTTTCCATGGCTGCAGCTATAGCCAAAGCTTCATTTTCACAATTGGGACTGCAACAAGAAGGATCACCTTGAATCCAATGCCCATGTATTGGCTCAATTGCCTTACACATAAGCTTTCCAGTTGTCAGGGTCCCTGTTTTATCAAATGCAACAATTTGACAAGCTGCAATTGCATCTAACACATGACCTCCCTTGAGAAGAATACCCTGCAAGGATAAATAATGCAAGAATCAGCACTAAAAGATAAGAAAGTCAGACGTTGTTGAAATATAAAAAAATAGAACCGAATCACTAACCACTAAACAGGTCACCCCAGAAGAACCTTAGGTTAAGTTCAGACACAACAAACTAGGGTGCAAGAAAATTTATAAACTGTGTTCAGCTTCTTAGAAAGAAACGTGCAAATTCTTCATTATATAGGAACCAATTGAGGGAGTGTCAATATAAAGTCAAATGTAGCACATTCAGATTCAGTCATTTAAAGGAATTCTCATACAAAAATATGAATGAGCTTTAGCACGAAGATCAAAGAACTCGGTGCCATAAAAAAATATGTCGTCTTCAACATGAAATTGCAATTACACAGACACTACATACGTTAATTTTGGAAACTGATAGATATTGAATAATTTGAGTAAAACCTTCACACAGTAATGCTATTGTGGCCTTTGAAAATTTACGCCCCAACCTCTCTACATTGAAAAAGTTTTAACCGAGCGTTCTAGTTCAAATTTTCAAAAAGTAAATTAGATTTAAGATAAGACACTACAAAAATATTCTCTCTCATTTTGTGAAGACTTTAAAATGTTAGTTCAAATTTCTCATAGGCACAAGCAATTATGATTCACTACCTCTCTCAGTGATTTAGAAAAAACTTTCAGTTAAAACTAGTCATTAGATAGACACAAAGTACCTAACGTATAATTCCAGTAGCAAAGTTAATATTCTGATTGTAATTTATCATCTTATACCTAAAATGATGATGAAGGAATGATAATGAATTGGATCAAGATATCATGATTCTATCGTTCCGGGTTGTCATGATACCTAGTCTACTTTATCAGAGAAGGAAGTAGATCCAACTTGACCAAAAGATTCTGATCAATAGACATAGGTTGCTTCGCCCTAGGGTACCTTGTAGATCATGGGTGGATGTTTATCATCCTATACCTAAAATGATGATGAAGGAATGATAATGAATTGGATCAAGATATCATGATTCTGTCGTTCTGGGTTGTCATGATCCCTAGTCTACTTTATCAGACAAGGAAGTAGATCCAACTTGACCAAAGGATTCTGATCAATAGACATAGGTTGCTTCGCCCTAGGGTACCTTGTAGATCATGGGTGGATGTTTGCCTAAGAGGAATAAATTTAAGTCAACCTTAATTAACAAAAGACTTTATACCATATCAAGTATACTTTATGATTCATTAAAGTTTTTTTGCATTGGGGGAAAATGCAGGCTCTACTCAAGGTCGTAATTTAATGGCGTCTTTTTGTGAAAAAATATTAGATTAGAAGGACCGAATCATAGCCATTTTCATCTGGAAATAAAATTACTAGTTAAAGGATATGGGTCACATCCCTTAATGACAACAGATTATTTGAGAATGAATTGTAGCAATACACTTAACAAGATATTAGCTGTTTGTGACCAAATGTTATTCTCAATTTTAAGACCATCAACAAACAGTTGTGAAAGGCAAATGAATTTTAAATTTAAATTTTATGAGATATATTTCATTTGAATTTTTTTTTTTTCCTAAATAATGAATTATTTGAATTTTATAAGAATCAATGCCTTGAGTAATTAATTTTGGAATTTAGAGGTATTTCAAAATATAAGATCTTCTCTGGTTGAGATTTACCTTCACAACATCCATCATTGGGGTGACATTGAAGTATCATAAAATATTTGTATTCGCAACTTGAAATTTTGATTTTGAGAACTGAAAAACAGACCACTCTGGTCAATATTTTTTTCAACACGATCATCATCAAGGATTTAAATAATTTTACATTATTAAATGAACTTTATCAAGTTTGCTTGCTTCTCAACAAAGGAAAGAGCTCAAATATCGACTTTATTAATTTTCATACGAGTGTTACCTTGAGAGTTTGAATTTTTTCACTGAATTTCTTTTGTAAAGGCAATGAAGGCCTAACACAAATATAAAACCAAATATCTTGATGAATTTCATAGTCATATATTCATTCATTAATTCAATTCTAGGAAGCTCCAATCCTTCTAAGGAAGAGGATTAGACTTGAAATTTAAGGTCCCATTTATTTTAATCCGCACAAAAATCTCAGTCCCTATATTTAGGAATTTAATATATCGGTTGGAGTACATGCGAGTGTTTAATTTGAAAAGATGATTTGTGCAACTTGCTTTTAAATCGTGCAACATTATCAAACTTTGTATTTGCACGTTTAGCACATTTGTCAGATTATATGCGAGGACTTCAATTTACATTTAAATAGAGTTCATGGTTTTTTATGCGCTTGCACAATGCATTTGCATAAAGTGTTAGTATGCTTTCAATGTATTTGAGTACTTTTCAATATGCTCACACGAGGCATCTGCACTCTTTTCAGTGCATTTGTCTAGTGTATTTGCATGCCTTTCAATATATATTATTGATTGAATTTTTAAATTTTTTAAATAATAACATGCTTTATGGGACAACTAGACCCTTTCTAAGACAACCACATTATTTTTAATTTTGTAGCATGTTTTTCAAAACAATGACTCAATTCTCGAGGCAGTAGCACATTTCCTAGGGTTGTTATATGCTTCACGAGGCTGCTATGCGTTTCCTAAGGAAATAGTACACTTCTTGAGGCAAGTGCGCTTGAATTTAGAAAACTATATTTTAACGCAGACAAAATTCTAAAGATATCCATATTTGATTGCTTGCAGGGGTGTTTATCAATAAAAATGCATGCAATGATTTGTTTTTGAGGTTTAAAATACGTTTTATGTTCGTTAGCCCATTTATATTACAGATTTGATCGCATTACAAGTAAATAGAAATCTTTTTTTGTAATTTTCTACTTTGCAAAATTTTCATTTTTACATAGTTGTAGAATTTGTGAGTTCACTAGGAGCCATAAAATTCTTGCCCGTCGATGACTTGTGTTTATTACAAGTCCATTGCTTGTGTTCAATTATATCCATTCAAATACACAAATATTGTATTTAAGCATTTTTTATTTTTATTCTCAATGTGCATTTAAATTTTTATTTCATTGTATTTTAATCCAATTGGTCCCTGTTTAAGCGATGTTCACACGGGATTTCGACGTCTCCTTGGTATAGGAGGCATCTACAAGGAGTGCTAGACCTACCTATCACACTTATAAAGAAGTGAGATGGTTAATGTATAGCAATACCATGGCCAAAGGTCTTCTACCCCAATATGCTTAAAAAAGGGTGCAGGATTTTAATCAACTGCATGAGCAAAAGCATGACTTTCCTCACCACTTCAGAACAATGCGAACATATACTTATTTTGCAAATTTTTCATGCCGTGTTAGAATAAGGTGCACGAGTACATATTTCTAAGATTCAAAAGGAGCAAATTAGGGATTTGAAGTTAAAGAGGAGAGGTATACAGCAACATTTAGCATATGAATGAAGAAGGGGGATGCGAGGCCGGCCAGAGTGTGGGGACTTGGCCAAGATAAGGTTGATCATAATATTTTTTTATTATCATGAATCAGACAATAGGTTGGTCGCTGCTACTGGGCTCGATAAACTTTGGGGATTTGATGAAATATGGGTAATATTTCATTTTTTTTTTATTCATTATATATTTAATTTTAAAAAAAAGATTAATAACAGTAAAAAAAGAAATAGGACAAAATAAATGTAAATTGGCTTCACACGCAATTTATTGTCCATTGTGCATCTCAATTTGCATGCCATTGCCTCACATGGGCAGGCAAATTTTGCATTTTGGCTCGCACAACAACCCCAGCAATATGGGTGACAATTTAAGATCGATGTTCCGGAAGTGTAGCGCAATCATTTTGTGACAAATGACGCTTGGATGACTTCACATAATATTGAGAATGTATATCAACATTTTCGATCATGTTCGATCGAATCAAGCACAGGAGGCCCTTCATTGGTACTTTTTGATGTTTTGAGCACACAGGTGTAGTCTGTTTCTCAAATGGGTGGCATTTGAGTAATTTTAACTATCGTTGAGGTATTTTGAACTTGCTACGCACGCTGTCACGTCAATTACCCACTGTCAAGGCATTTTAAACTTGTTACATATGGAATTGTATCTTTTGAATGTCATTCTTGTCGCACACACTTAAATTGATTGTGGAATATACGTGAAGGTCAACAAATATGAAGGCTTTTTCAAGTAATTCTACACAAATAATCTAAGATCTAAAGTTTTTTATATGTAATAAATAAAAGATGATAAAAATTATGCAACAAACACAAAATTCACAGAACAAACTTTTGATCTCAAATAATTATCTGATGCATTCAATGAAAATTCAAAAGTATGACTGAATTCAATTTAGACAATAATTTAAACGTTGTTCCACTAAAAATAAAGGCTAGGAAATTCAGGACCAAGAAAACCACGCAAACATTTTGAAATTCGTAACCTTGTTAAAAATCAGATTGTATCAAATTGATTAAGCTTGATTACTCTTTCAAACCAATAACAAAGCATAAAAGAAGAAAGTAGAAGGGAAAGAATTGAACAAAATGCAAGCCTCTCACATGTCCAAGGAGATGATCTCTCCTAGAACTTTTCAAGTCTTTCACTTAATTAAGAAAATAAATTCATACGTAAAAGGATTAGCAGATCCAACAAAAAAATTTATCCAACAATTGAGTTTTTTGCATGAGCCTCAAACCTTTATTATAATCATAAAACAAAATAAAATGTCCTCTTATTTAACCTAAAGAAAAATCCCTACTAGAATAATCTTTAGTAACTGATAAAGAAATAGGCACAAAAAGAAAATATTGAATGAACGAGAACAACAAAAAAGAAGAGTGCTTAAAACTGTCACACAACTAGACGGGGGTCAACAAATAGAAAGTTGTGGGAGGAACACTAAATAGAAAGAAGGTGTCGAACATAAAGCAACAATAGCTCAGAGCAGTCAACAGAAGAAAGCCATAAGAAATCAATTAAATAGAGAACCACCTAGACATAATAGAGGAGATCGCACAAAGAAGCCACTAAATAGAAGTCATAGGAGGAAGAGGTCAATAAAAACCCACTGAATGTTAAACTCAAGTGGAAGACCCAATCTCAAAGAAAGTAAGATGACAAGATAGGAAAAAGTCATAGTAAGAGGACATAGGGTTCTACAAGTCTACACATTGAAAACACCATGCTAATAAATAATATAAACAAGTTTTTTTTTTAAAGTTATTTTGCTTTATGATTTTAGTTAATTTGGGACATCTAAGTGATGATCGTTTATACGAACTAGATGTATTCACTTTGGTTATAATGGTTTCTCATTTGGTTTGAATTGAGTGGTTGGCCAATGGGGCCAATGGTTGCATTTTGGAATTGCTGATTCCTATAATTAGATTTTGGAATTGTTGATTCCATGGTGTGTGGGTATTCTAAAATAGTTCTATTGTTGGAGTTTTCTTATAGCTATGATGGCTTTTGGTGTTTCATTCTATCTGATTTTTTCATGCTGTGGTTGTAGGTCCGTTGCAGTGTTCCGTAGCGCCATTAAACCTGAGATTGGGATCAGTAGCAGGTTATTGGCATTCTGTTAGAAGGTTTTTTGGGTTCCATTCTAAAACATTGCATAATTTTCAATGAGATTTGGACCAGGTATTCAACGGTAGTGCTGAGCAAGTGCAATAAGGGAACTAAATTAAACCATTAGGAGGAAGCCTAATAAGAAATTAAATGTTTATAAATACCAACACCTAAGATATTTATTGAGATAGTTTTTGATGCGAGAAATCTTTTGTTTCTATTTTCAATTGTGTGTGTGGTGGCAGGAAGTGGGATTCCTTTAAGTGTGGAGCAAGTGTAATAAACAAATCTCTGTAGGAAGCTATCTCTTTGCATCACTGCAAGGCATTAATTTTCTTTCGCTTTGTTGATCTCCTTCATTTATCTTTTTTCTCTTTAAAAATTTTATTGTTAACTTTGCTATTCCAAATTTTGATCAAATTTAATACAGCTGGGATTTAAATTAGAGTGTAAAGTTCATCAGCTCACAATTTTTTGTGGTTTAAACTTTTGTTGATTTCTTCGAACTTAATCAATCATAGAATTATAGATTTGATTTAAATTCTCATATTGTTTTGGTTCACAGAAAAAATAGTAGTTTTTGTATACTTAATAGTTTTTTATCAGTGAATCATAATTTTCTCTGTGCAATCAATAATTATTGTATCATCCTAGAGTTATTAGAAACCCTGAATCCGAAATAGTTTAGTGTCAAATTGATATCAAACATTTTACTTCAAGTGCCTGTAGGTTCAGAATTAGAATGACCCAAATGTGTGCATCTATTTACGCTCCACTCAACGAACCCTAGTTGTGTGCATCTCGGCTTGTGGTGGTGTATAAGAGAAGAAAATTAACAGTAATAAGAATAACAAAAAGCAGTTACCTTAATGCTGAAAAGTAATGCTATAAAATCATTCACTTAATTAATAATTATGGTGGCGCATAAGAGAATATAAAATACTAAAACCATTGCAGCCAATAACAAGTACCTTACTTGCACATGAACTGATGGCAGTAGCATAAGCCAAAGGAGCAACGGCCAATGCACAAGGAGATGCTGCTACCATAAGCCCCAAGGCGCGGTAAATTGAACCTTTGCAAACTAAGATTACACAGCATCAAAGAAAGGCAAGTAAATAATAAACCTGACAGACAAGATTCACGAAAACATAAACTTTAATTTTCCCCCTCCCTTTGTTTTTCTTTGAGCAAAAAAAGAGGAATATCATTTTCTTTTAATTTGGGCAAAACAGATTCCATAGCTTCATAATAATGAGAGCAACGAAGTTGAAAAAGAATGACAACCTTTATGATGCATTGCAACAATCTATAATATTTAATCTGCTTGGACTAAAAACAATAGAAAAAAGTAGCCATTAAATATTCACTCCATACATAAACCATTGATATCATTCATTGAATCAAGAAATCAAGCGAAATTATATTAATCAAAATTAAAACAAAATATTAACCATTCAACTTTAATTAAATAATTAATCGCAACAGCAAGTTCAGTTTTAAATGATAAGATGGATATAATAGGAAAAAAGATATATTAGTATTATATTTTTAAAAAATCTATGTGTACTATATTAAACAGCATATAGAATTGTGCTGCCTTGACTTCATATTCCTTGTTCTGTTTAATCTGATCCATAAAGCCTGTAATATGATTACTAAATGTTTATAAATAGCTTGTTTTATTCTTTGTGATTTATCCTTTTCCTGCCATTGCTCTCATTTTTTATTCCTATGTTTATTTTTTCCGTAAGAAACTTGATCTTTTTTATGCATTGAGAAATGTCCATGAGAATTTTGGAAAGTAGAAAATGTATCCGAAATAAATGAAGCTATATAAATTGGAGACAATTGATCAAAGTTTCAACATATATAAATCATGGTATACAATCTCATAAGCTTATAAAATAAAAGGAAGAGCTGCAATTGCAAGATAAATTGTCCATGCGTAAATTTCCTAATAACACAAACTGCAGGAGTAACAAGCTGTCAAGAATTTTAAGTTATCTTATCTCCAAGAACCAACCAAATGAATGGAACAACAACAATAAAGAAATATAATAATTCTAATAGTGATGACAATGCACGACGTATTTAAAACTTCATCCTTCTAAACTTCAAATTTTCATGGGATTGTAAGATTAATGTTAAAGAATAGCTAAAATGTTTATGCCCCCAACTCTCTTCAATCTAAGCATTGAAATTTAGTTATAAGTAAAATTTTCATCATGAATTGTGCAATACTAATAAATTAATAACTTGAAACTTTGTTGGGTGTTTAATCTCAACAGAGAAGAGATTCTGTATTATAATTTCCACAATATTTTGAATGTATTTATTATTCGTATAACATCTAAACACCCTAATAAAACAATATGACAAGTTGGAAAAAAAAATTCCTAAATTCATTGAAGGCTTATGTTTCAATGTATTTGGAGGATTAGGAGAATATTTCACATGCTCCTTTCAGTAAGTCTTAAATATCAAGGGCATCTTGCAGCTAACTATTGGCTTTCCTTGAAAAATGACAAATGATGGAATGATAACAGAATTATTGATGTTGTATCTCTCGAGGATAGAGCACTGACACCCTCAACTTTCATGTAATCTTGAGTCTTAGACTTCTTAATTTATAATTTTTTAAAGAATTTCCAAAGGGAGATCAAAATGGATATGTGATTTTTCATTGACAATCCAGGGTACATATTCAGGGAGGATAAGGCTCTAAATAATTTATCCTTGTAGCCATTTTGGAATAGTTCAAGAGATTACTCTTAAGGAAAAAAATCACACCTATTGAATTCAATATCTTTCACAATTGAACAAATATAAAGCAAAAAAAAAATAAAACATTGGCTATTATTAGGAGTTGTGTCATTATATCTCTGAAGTGATTTTTAAATGTGAGAGTCTCGCTTAAGGAATTTGGATGAAACCAACTAGGTACTAATTTTAAATCTATTATAATTGTTTTCATAAATGTATATTGCAATTACTTGTAAATTATACATTTAAATGAGAATTCTCATTTTCAAATTGCATGCATTCGGTGCGCGTCCTCTTCTCCATTTTTTCGTTGTTGTCACGTAGAGTTTGAAAGTGTCTCTTTGAGCTTCTCCGCGCCCGACGACACTATTCTGTGCCATGTGAAATAGAGTTCTGAAAGTGTCGCTTTGAGCTTATCCACCTCTGACGGCATTGCTGTTCTGCTTCGCGTTGAAGCTTCTTCACCTTTGACGACGACGTTGTTGATGTTGAATCAGAAGTTATGATGGGAGCTTGTAGCGTAACAATATTTCTCCCCTTTCACATTGCTTCTTCGACTAAATCTGCCAATATGTCGGATTTATGAAATCCAAATCCGGGATTTAGGGCAAAAATTTCATGAAGTCAAGCTTAGATGACCGGGAGATTTGATATTGTGTTTTTCGGAGTTTGGGAAGATTTTAGCTCAAATCTTGTCTAAACCCGGCCTAAATCCTGCATCCAAACAGGCCCTAAGAGAAAAATTGTCTGCTAAAGAGATTAAAAATGAGGAAGAAAGTATGAAAATGAAAAATAGGATGGACAAAAAGTTCTCATTGTCTAACTGAAAATGAATCTTAAAAACATCAAATACCATAGGCAGCCCAAAAACAAACGGTTAAAATTATGCACACGCACATTTGAGTAATACAATGTGGTTATGTCTTCTTATTATTAACACACTTTTATATTATTATCATGGAGTATTTCGGGTGGTGAAGTACCTGAGGTGCCAATAAATGGCCACTTAAAGATAAATGGACCAAGAAGTGCAACCATCAAAGATAGCGCTACAACAACCTTACTGTACTGCTCTCCAAATTCATCTAACCATCTTTGTAACTTTGGCTTATTTAGCTGTCCTTCTTTAGTCAACTGCACAATTTTGTTCAGAGTGGAATCTTCCCATGACTTTGTCGTCTAAGGCAGGAATAAAAAAGGAAATCAGCCAGTTTCATAGACTATAAAGTTTACTCTTAGCTGCATAATCAGCTACATGCCTGGAAGAGTTTAAGAACATAAAAACGTGCATAGGAAGAGGGGAAGACGTAGGAAGAAAACATGATAAGTTTAAAATAGTATTGTATTGGTAAATTAGAAAATTGTGTTCAAGTATACAATTCTGATAGGAACTTTGTTAAAACTAAAGGTTAAATTTGTCTGCATGCTTCCTAGTAATAATTAGATCCCTCATTTTACTTGTCAACACAGGTCCCTGAGATGTGAACTTGATTCCTAATAACCCATAAAACATTGCCACATTATTAATAAAAGGCCAAATGACCAAAAAACCCTCACAATACCAACACCCACCGCATCGGCCCATAGCCTGCTACCTGCCCAGTGCTCCAGCTTTTGGCTGCCATCAGTCAACAGGCAGCCAAAGAGACAGTAATTGGTGATGGCCATAAGGGCATCTCCAATGGAACGACAAAAAACTATTTGTCGTTCTTCCGTCGCTCCAACCGAGCAACAATTTTGCCGCTATTTCATCGCGGGTGAACAGTCACCCGCTAAATTTTTGTGTCAATGGGATTTGTCCGCAAAATGGAGAAGGACAGTTACGAGACGATAAAGCCCGCGAAATGGAGTTCGATTGGAGCAGAATTACCACATTTTGGAGTTTTGCTGTATTTTGCGGTGGAAAATGGGGTTTTCAGTTGGAGATGCCTTAAGTGTTGATATGTGGTCAGTAGTTGGTGATGGCCGTAAGTGTTGATTTGCGGTCATTAGTTGGCAGTTAGTAGAGACCGTGTTAACCAACCAACAGCCAAATATTGAAGCTTTTGGAACTTAGCAAAAGACTACTGGCGAAAGATGGCAAACATGGAAAGCTGATGTTCAGTTAACATTATGGGGATACAATGGTCAGGATATATAGGCTATTTGGCAATCCTTTAATGGTAAAATTAGATAAACCCAAAGCAAACTAGGTTTAAATTGGAGTAGCCTGTAGTGAAAATGGACACATGCGGGACCTAATCACTAGCAGGTCCATATCAAAAAGATCTATTGCCCAAGAATGACACAAAAGATAACCCAATGGGAAAAAAATGGAAGACAAAATTTCTAGAATGAAGGATAAATGAATGAAAACTGAACAGAGAAATGGATCCCCAACACATGCCGAGGGATAAAATTTGATATGACAAACAATGGAGATAAAATGAAATGATGCTAATACTAAGGTTTGAAGAAAAATACCTTTACAATCATCATCCCTTCAAGGTTCCGAGCACCGCCTGGTAGCATATCCCCAACCTTTCTGTCAACCGGTTTGCTTTCCCCTGTTAAATGCTCGATCGTAATTGTAGATGCTCCTTGGAAAACTTCTCCATCTACTGGAACAGCCTAAGAAAACAAAATTTACGTGGCTTGGATGCAAGTAATCTGCAAACACACTCAAACTCACAAACAAGAGACAAAACGGACTACACTTATACACATATATATTAATTAATACTCACACCTTTACAAACAAGCACACAACAAGAGGCATGTAAAGGCACAAAAAGAGAAAAGGGTGGAATTGATCCCCAAAATTTTTCTGAAAGATCAAAATAGTACCTTGGCTCTCAACGAAGGATAAAAATGATCCTCAATTATTTAGAAGTTTCATTTTAGTCCTTTGACATTTTAGTTTAAATAAGGACATAAATGATCTCACAAAAGAACTAATTTGGAGACCTATAAATTATTAGTGCATGCCATGCCATGCCATGCAATGTCAACTGGAAAACAATAGTGGACATGTTCAAAGAAACTCAAATTAAAACTATAGTACAAGTAGATTTAGATATCTTTGACATTACCACTTACTGAAAAACAGCAAATATTAAATACCATGTAACATCAATATCAAAATCTGAGTAAAGACCTACAAAAGAAGACAATGCCTTTCCATTTCCCAGATTGTCTGGTAACTATGTGTGGGGAGGGGTATTAAGATCAGCAAATGTACATTAACCGTGTAGAAACAATGATATCAAAGTCCTAGCAACTTCCTTAATTAAAAGTTCCATCATTCAATGTTTAAAATGCATCAAAAAAAAAATTAAAATGATAAAATACCCGACATTAATCCTCCAACTAAGCAGCGCAATAAAAAAAGCTGATAACTAAATGTAGATGAGCAATAAAGGTTTGTTCTTTCAGCAGTAAATCTGTTAAAATCTCTAATGGCTTAGTAACTACATCCAAAAACGAAGGCTCGTAAGCATGATATGCTTGAGTGTGGTATAGAAGAATATCAAAAAGCATATATAGCATGAATATAACAAGAGAGACAATTAAAGAATGCCATCCTAACGGCATCATCATTTCAAACTGCGATACTAAGATATTTAAATGAAAGCAATAAAGCAGTTTTTGTATCTATCTTTGAAAGAATAGTAGAAAATTATACAATAGTAGAGACATTTAAAGTTCATACACATACCTCACCAGCCCGGACCAAAATATAGGAACCCACTTCAAGTTGATGCACAGGTATCTTATTATAATTTAATTTTGAGAACTGTGGTAATGTATCTTCGTCTAATTCCAGCTTCAATGCAAAGTCAGGATGATTATCCTTCAACTCCTTAACATCAACATTTGACCTCCTAGTGAAATACTCTTCCGCTACACAAAAGATGTCATTATCAACAACAGCAGGGTGGACAACCTAGAATAGTAAGGAAAATGATGCTATACAGAAACAAAATATATGCAACATACCTATGTGGGCTAGATTAAACATAGCAAGAAGTAGTGCACCTTCCAAAGAATTTCCCATGAAAATCGATGCAAATGCTGCTAAGGCCATGAGAACATGGATGTTTATTTTTCCACCAGCAACATTTAGGACAGCATCAAGTGCTGCTGAAACCTAAAACACGTCTATGAAAAAACCTTCAGAAATTTTCAACACTAAAAAAAAATTAGGGATGCATCTTAAGACAAAAGTATGACTTAGTAAGAAACTTTTTGTCCATAAAATTGCCTTTTATGCATAATAAACCAAATCACAGACATTGACATAAGCATATGAAACAAATGTAGATAAATTTGTGAAAGACTAGAAGACCACATGCAAGGTCATTGACCATACTATCCAAGAAAGCAGACACTTTTAAATTTCAATTAAAATTGAGCCCCCATTCAAATAAATCAAGTTGGGCCCATTTAAGAATACTCATGGGATGAAATGTTTCATGCATAATGGCATTTATTAAATCTTGCACCGCATCAAACAATGAAAATGCAAGTCATATCATTTGATGAGTATACACAATGCTTTTTTGCCTAGCAGTTCGCAAAATAAGGCAAGCCTCAACAAAACATCATCATAATGTGTCCTCAAAGGTATCCAATTGACATCAGAAATCATTACCATCCTAGTTTCTAATATATTAGATAATATAACGTCCAAAGTACATGGCAATATATTAGCTTGCTATGAGCTTCAATAAAGCCTAAAAGTAACCAAATCCCATTCATAACAAGTATGATACATAAAATGACAAGACTACTACTAGTATAGTTTCTTCACCAGGAGATAATCATAAGACATGAAGAAAACTAAGGACAGACTAACACAAATTTGACAAAATCATGCTGCCAAATGCCAATCTATTAAGGTGATTGTTCACTCGAGAGCCTATTAAGGTAAAGAACACAACATGCCACGCCAATCTTATTGGAAACAAAAAGCCGTGGCAGCTAAAATATGAATTAACTCAGACAGGAAGGGTTTTACCACACACAGAATAGCAAGTGGGAAGCTTTAAGCTTAAAGAGCTTATGCCAAAAATATTATGTGAGATTTATCTAATAGGTCCCTAAATTTTTCCTAGTATTTCGGCCTAAACGCCACCCGATAGAGAGAAACCCAGTTTATGCAACCTAAGGTTCCAGCTTGAGCAATCTGAGCAGCTGCAAGGACAACATAATCATAAAACATTTGATCTTTGAATCTACAAAAGCCTTACCCCAAAATTTATTACATGAAAGATCCTACCACAAAGCCAAGGCAATAGCCGATCCATAACCAAATGATTTCAAGCCAATATGCAATTATACCAACCGGTATAAGAACAACGAGACCATCTCTGAGGAAGCAGAAAAAGCCATACCCCAATTAATGGGAACGCAATGGAGATAAAAGCGTTCTGGAGAAGCTTGGCAGCACGCGCCGGTAGAACGTAGGGGCAGGCGGCCGACAAGAGAAGCAGAATCATGGAGCAGCAGCAAAGTTGAAGATGCTCCCGGAGAAGGTCAGCGAGATCTACCCATCCCACCGCCTTGGCGAAGCGGAGGATTGCCTTCTGCACACCGTTGAGCTCCAATTCGCATGTTTGTTCGTGCCCATGATGGTGCTGGTGATCATGAGGGTGGTGGTGTTCGTGAGCTCCGCATCCTACCCCACTGGGTAGACGAGTGAGGAGAAGGCGCGGCCGCGAAGGCGAAATTCTAGGGTATCTCCAGAGAAGAGTAGGCGGCGAGGGTACTGAGGAGACGCCGCAACGCATAGAGGAGGAGATCAAAGGAGACGGTTGCCGAATCCGGCGGACAAGGGCTTGATGCGTTGGTGGAAGGCCGACGGAGGCGGAAGAGGAGAGGAAGAAGGAAGCCATAAGGAGTTTCGCCGACGATAGATCGCAGCAAAGAGAGGGGAAGGGCTAGGAAGGAGGAAATAGGACTATTGTGCGATCAACCAGATTATCAACACCATGAGCTCATTTCAGTACGGAAATTGACGGAAGAATAGGATGACGACCGACGACGCCGACCGCGACGACCCGCAGAGGCGGATAGAGGAGCTTTATAACGGGTAATATGCAAGACAAAAGTCCTAATTTTGACGGAATTTTATGCTCAAAAAATATATTTAATTAAATAAAATTAAAAATAACATTATATATGAATAATAAATATATTGATACATCATAAATTACATTTCTCTTCTCTCTTTCTTTTAGATTTCAAAAGTGTCTCTTCATAAATTTAATATAATGAAGCAAAATTCTATTACAATTATATGCTTAGTTGAATTAATCTTTCTTTTTTTTTTAGAATATTATATTGTGTATTTAGGAAAAAAATATTTTAAAGCATATAAATCTCATTCAAAATATTACATTTTCGCTCGGAATACAAATAAGCAATATTTGTTCATATTGCCTCTAGACATGGTATTGCATTTCATGTTGTGAATATTATTGATTTCTTAATGAGGTTTTGACTTACAGCAATTGAAGAATGTTGAGACATTGAACTAGAACAATGTGGGTTAAAGGTATGTCAATGTTTAAACAATGTTGTTATGGCATATAATGAAAGTGTCATTTGATGATTCATACAATTTGTAGTTGTCATGTGGATAAGAATTTATGAAAATTGAGTACGTTTTGATAGAATTTGAATGTAAAACTAGATGAAGGGTCTAAGAAAAAATTTTAAAAAATGATTGAAAAATATTTGAACGTGTTAAGACATCAGACATGTCTCCGGTCCAGAACTGGGTCCAGAACGGTTCTCTTGTATCTCCAGTTTATGTCCTCTATATATACTAGCTCATTCTGTAATAATATTCATTCAATACATTATATTTTCCCAACTCTCTGTCTCTATGTATCTCTCTGTTTCTCCCTGTTCCTTCGCCCGAAGGTCTCTCTTGCTGGCTCGTACCTGTTTCACATGGTATCAGAGCGAAAAAGCTTCGCATCGTCTTCTTGATCAATCATGGCGGAAGAAGACTCAACCAGTTCTTGCCGGACTACCTCCATGATCCTTAACAAAGAAACCGATCTTCTTATCCCATCCCATCTCAAATTCTTGATATCCAATATCAAGAATCTGGTTCCCACCTCCCTCACTACCGAAAACTACTCGATCTGGAGGCTGCAACTGTTCCAGCATTTCTCCGCAAATGGCTACAGCGAGCATCTCACCGGTCAGGTCGTCTGCCCACCAGAATCTGAAGAATCTGAGTGAAATCGCTGGATTCTTACAGACCGCAATCTTGTCTCCACTCTGCTCTCCACAATCTCCCCCTCCATTCTTCCGTATGTAATCACGCTTCGCACATCTCACGACGTTTGGATCACTCTAGAACGCCATCTTCAACCCACAGATCGATCGCAGGTAATACATCTCAAGAACGATGTTCATCAAATGCAAATGAAAGATAGAACGATGCAACAATATCTCGACCAAATCAAGACACTCGTGGACAACACCGCAGCGGCAGGATCCACGGTCGACACCGAGGACATCGTTCTTTACATCCTCAATGGGTTACCCTCCGCTTACAACCCATTCAAAACTGCTATTCGCACCTCTCTTCAACCCATAAATCTTGATGATTTATACTCTCTGTTAAGCAGTGATGAAATAAATCTTCAACACCAACAGCTCTAAGAAAGCCAACATTCCGAGTCCATGGCTCTGTTCACCAACAAATCGTCAAACTACCACGGTAAATCAAATAAATCCCGTGGAAGATACAGCTCTCGACAACCATCGGCTGAGAGACAACCCTCCGCTGACCCGCAGGCCACAACAAGAAACCAATATCCGCGACCTCAGTGTCAAATCTGTGGAAAAACGGTGCACTCGGCGATCAATTGCTGGCATCGTTGTAATCTAAGCTACACACCTCCGACCAACCAGCGGGCTCTTACGGCACAACAGCAACATGTCCCCACCAACGACTCAGGGGCTTCCTCTCATTTCACGACGGACGCAACGAACCTTCAGCAATCGACCCCATACAATGGCTGCGACTCAGTCTCCATCGCCAACGGCAGCAATCTCTCAATTCAAAACTCGGGCCAAGGACTTCTACCCTTACCCGAATCCAATAGTAAGCTTAACCTGAAAAAGATCTTACATGTTCCGTCCATCTCTCATAATCTGCTATCTGTTTCCCGTTTAACTTATGATAACAATATTTCTATATCATTCACTGCTAATGAATTCGTCATTAAGAATCTACAGGACAATCAGGTGCTTCTCCGAGGTCCAATTCGCAATGGCCTGTACCACATCAAGGCTCCTTCCATCAATAAAGAAGCTGCTCTCAACACGGCCCAAATGCCAAAATTCTCCTGGCACGCACGTCTCGGTCACCCGCACCTTCGCAAGCTCCAAATTCTGGTGAAAAATGTATCTGAAATTTCTTTAGGATCTTCTAATAATGTTTGCATTTCATGTAATATTTCTAAAAGTCATAAACATTCTTTTTCCCGTAGTATATCCGCATGTAATAAACCGTTTCAGCTCGTCCACTCGGACGTGTGGGGACCGGCTCCCTCGATTTCCTTGAAAGGGTTTTGATTTTACATCATTTTCGTCGATGATTACACATGCTTTACATGGTTTTTCCTAATTCAAACAAAAGATGAAGTCCTTACTAAATTTAAACATCTTTGTGCTCTTGTTAACACAAAATTCAATACCCGCATTCAAACATTTCTGACAAACGGCGGCGACGAATTTAACAGCAATGAGTTCCGCAATATTCTGGCTCAGCAAGGTATTACTCATCAAACCAGCTGCCCACATACTCCTGAATAGAACGGGACCGCGGAAAGGAAGAACAGGCATCTCATTGATCTCACCCGCACTATGGTTCACGCGGCAAACCTTCCGACCTCTTTTTGGGCAGAAGCGGTGTCCATGGAAAACTACCTCATTAACAGGCTTCCTTCATCCGCCATTCAAGATCAAACTCCCTATTCTCGTCTTTACGGCAACCTGACATCATACAATCAGCTGCGTACATTCATGTGTCTTTGCTTTCCCTGGACAAGATCGTATGTGCCCAACAAGCTTTCACCTCGCTCCCAGGAATGTATCTTCCTAGGATACTCCACTCAGCAGAAAGGCTATCGTTGTCTCGACATTATCAACAACAGGATATATATTTCTCGGCATGTGGTATTCCACGAACACATTTTCCCGTACTCTTACAATCGACCAATTCAACATAATATGCCTCAGTCGAAGCACTATTCTCCCCTACTTCTGGTTCCAGCATCTGCCATCTCTTCTAACAACTGTTTGCACGAGACTCCCAACCAGCTGAATATGACCAGACAACCAATCAACTCCAATGAGAGTTCATTCTCCCTCCATCTGGCCCACGAGAACTCTACAAGTGTTGGCTCGTCCCAGGCTATTCCAATCATACATCACATGCAGACTTGCCTACGCTTGGGCATCTCAAAGCTAAAACAAATATTCACGTTATCCGCCACATTGCCCGAACAGTCTACTCTCACCTCCTACACGGAAGCAGCAAAACACGCCAACTGGTGAGCGGCAATGTCCTCCGAATTCCTAGCTTTGCAAACTTAAGGAACCTGGACACTAGTACTGGCTCCGGTTGACAAGCCCATACTCAGAAGTAGATGGACGTTCAAAACAAAGCTAAAACCTGATGGACAAGTCGACACGTACAAAGCCCAACTTGTAGCACAAGGTTGCTCTCAAGAATTCGGAGTCAACTTCATCGAGATGTTTAGCCCAGTCGCCAAAATGGTAATGATTTGAATGCTTCTAACCGTTGCTTTAACTCAGAAATGGTATATCACACAGTTGGACGTCTCAAATGCTTTCCTTCATGGCGATCTACACGACGAGGTCTACATGAAACAACCGAGAGGCTTCAAACACAATCAATACCCACAGCACGTCTGTCGACTCCGCAAATCCATCTATGGATTAAAACAATCACTAAGGCAATGGTTTCAAAAGCTAACAAAGTTCCTACAAAAGTTGGGGTTCCAATTCAGCAAGGCAGATCCATCTCTCCTTGTATTCAAACAAAACGACATAAAGATGTTCATCCTTATATACGTGGATGATATTTTGATTACCAGAAATGAAAACGTCAAACTAACCAAAACTCTACAGTCTCTTCGTTCGAAATTCAGTCTTAAATAGCTAGGAGACATCTCGCTCTACTTGGGAATTCAGGTGATTAAAAATAACTCAGGATATTTCTTGACTCAATCACACTACGCATAAAATCTTCTGAACACTGCAGGTTTCGTGGACTGCAAGCCGTCGACATCTCCATCTACAATCAGACCATCCAAAAGCCCGGACAACCAGCCATATTCCGATCCCCAGCTATTTCGCAAACTAGCGAGTTCTTTGCAATATTTGTCTATCACCCGACCAGACATAGCGTTCGCAACAAATGCTATATGTCAACAAATGCATCATCTCCGCAACAGAGACTATCAAGCACTCAAGCGCTTACTACGATATCTCAAGGGAACACTACAGTTCGACCTTCTGATCAACGCCGGTGCACTCACACTACAATGCTACACAGACGTCGATTGGGCTGCCAATCCCACCGATCGAAAGTCCATATATGGATTTTGCACTTTCCTAGGTCCGAACCTAATTTCGTGGTCCATCAAGAAGCAAAATACAGTTGCAAGATCATCTACAGAGGCGGAGTATAAATCTCTGTCCTCGGCAACGTCGGACGTTCTGTGGATTCGGCGACTGGCAGCTGATCTCGGCATCCCTCAGCAAAAACCTACGATCATACATTATGATAACACTTCAGCGATTGCCCACGCCAACAACCCTGACTTTCACGCATGGACAAAACACATTGAAATTGACTATCACTTTATCAGTAGCCACATTCAACACGGTAACGTGAGCATCGCTCACATATGTTCTACCGATCAGCTCGCAGACATTCTAACCAAATCCCTTCTAATCAATCGATTTCTGGACCTAAGAAACAAATTAACCATTCTCTTACCGAATGATTA